AGAGTTAGGCCCAGAACAGACGGTGAAACGCAACTGCAACTTTGTGATGATTCTGATGAATGAAACTGAAACTGAAAGTTTCAAACTGGTCGCGTCATGTGTGGTCTCTCAACGGACGCTATGGCAGAAACTTAGATGCAACTCAAAAGTAACTAGCAGTTGCAGTTTCGTTGCAGTTGCGTTTCACCTTCTGTGCTGGGCCTTATTGGGCCATCCTACATCTGTAGCCAACTTAGAAATGGATAACAATGTTTCTAATCGCAATGCCATTGACCTGTAGACACGGGTGCATAGTTTAAGTATTACGTCTTCACTAATGACGCATTAAAATTTGTTTAATAACATTGTTAAGCTGAAAGATCATTTCAGTGAAAGAACTTTGATCGCTCTGTAGCTTAAGCCGGCTCCAGACGGATGTATCGTGTAATGTAATGGAAATAGTATGGGCAGCAGTTTACATGTAATGCTCATAGTGCCGTCCACACGTATTCGTGTTACATTACACCCGTCACTCACTGTTCGTTCCACACCAACTGCTTTTAGCATTAAGTCCACCCTTAGTACTTTATTTGCGCAATAAAGTTTTCAATTTAAAACACATAGTTCACTCAGTCAGCAAAAATCCACGAAATAGTCGCGGGGACAGCTAAATATTATAGTTGTCGATATTTCCCATAGTATTCTTACTATGGGAAATGTAAGATGTGTGACTACTAAATTTTTGCTGTTATTATGACGTGAGCCTTTCTCTTTGACTCTTCATACAACTTACCTACCTACAAAAACAAACATTCTGTTGTTAAATGTATATTTACTGTACCTAAGTTTCTGTAATTAAAATGTGCAAATTACCTCAATATTTCACCCGGTAACACGAATGTTATAATATAGTTCCCGGCTCTCATGAGCCTCCAAGAGGATCCCAACTAAATTATCGTACATTCTAATGAATTTACTGAAAGCGTCTGAAAGGTCGGTCCAGTGGGAATTTTGGGTAACTCTCTAACTGGATTTTGGGCACTTTTAAGTATCTTAATAAAAGTAATAGGTAAGTATTTCATAACTGTTTCAGTTTCTTCACTCAAGTCTTGAAGACCCCGATTATGTGGGAGGAGGAGAAAGGCATTATTCCAATTTTCCCCATTGAATTGCCCCATCGATGGAGATATTGTGTACTTTTCTTTCACAAACTCCTATTTATTAGGTGGAATGAATTAATAAATAAATGACTTAGGCTTCGTATGTGAGTTTGTTGCGGCGCTTCTTCTCAGCACTTGCCAAATGTTGGTCTCGAAGCGCTGGTAGGGCAAAAAGATTATGAGATATGTGAAGTCTCCATAAGAGCAAAACTTTTAAAGTCTTTTTTTTTAATTACTTTGTCTTTTATTTAAATTTCTTAATATAATATTTGACGATTTGTAAGCGCTATTTTAAAAAGTATATACAATTAATAAAGGAATTTTGGCTTTGACTTTGAGTTAGAGAGAGTTCCATTCTATCCTCTTGAAGTCAGCATGATGAACGTATAAGTAAATCGGTTTGTTCATCCTTGACACGTTTGTGAAAAGATTAATTATGACAATAACGGAGATCTGATTTCAACGATATTTATAGAGATAAGTGCAACTCCGGTTAATGTCACGAAGCACGCTACCAGCATGCTCAGCACTTGTGGAATAGATAACTTATTCAACACAATCACTTTCGCTTATATTCAAACCTGATTAGGAGAATATACTACTGTAGTGTGTGTACTACTGTAGTGATGTGTGTACATTGTACACTGTACAAGGTGGACCGATGACATCATAAAGGTATCAGGGCAGGGAAGCGCTGGACGCAGGCCGCTACCAATCGATCAACATGGAAAGCATTGGGGGAGGCCTATGTTCAGCAGTGGACTGGACGTCCCATGGCTGAAATGATGATGATGATTACTGTAGTAACTCAATAAGCAAAAATAAATAAAATAGCTTGGGATCTGATAAGGACAATCCAATCTTCACATACACATATAAAATTATTTTAGAATGTTCAGCAGCTTGAGCGACGAAACAAAACAGAGAGACAAAGTTACTATGGATGACTTCACAGAAAGTAATACCGAAAATTATATTGATGAAGAATCGAAAGCTTTTTTCATGAAGAGCACTTCGTAATTCTTTACGCAACTATATTCTTTATACCTAGTATTAATTTCTCCATATACTCGTACCTAACAATGAACAAATATGGCCGTTATACCTAACTAATAGAATTCTTAATCGTATGACAACAGTGTTACGTACGTCGACATATCGTTTCGCTTATCGCTTTTGTACGAAGAAACCTTGATAACCATGTTGTTTGAAAATATATTTTATGATGTGCGAACAATGATCAAAGGACCGGCAGTTTCTCTTCACGGAGAAAATAGGGGTTTTCTAGAAAATAACGTGCTTAGTGATAAGATTAAAGTTGAATGTGAAATGGTAAGGAGGTAAGATGATATTCCTGCACATAAACAAATAGCAATAAATTGCACTATACCTTTCGAAATAAAATTAAGATAACGCTCTACATGTAAATAAATCGAATGTTACATGATGACGTGGCATATACAGCTCGAGTATTTATTCTCAATAATAACAAAATATTGAAGGCTTGAATCATTAATATTAAAAAATGTTTTTGTGCTTCAAAAGGCACGTCGGTTTTCATTGAACAATGTCAGGGATCATGGAGTCTAATACCAGGGATGTAACCTTAGTTTTAACAATCCACATGATGGGAAAAACAATGGAATCCATTTTTCATTTCATTGAAGTCAAGCAAATTGATAACAAAACCGATCAAAATAAAAAGAAAGAAGAAAATCGTAAACCAATTACGAATTTTTCCAGTAACAGACATGACGCTCAATTAGACGCGACAATCTTCCTTATCTAATATTAAATTAGAGATAACGAAGCAGAAATAGGCGAGAGTTTATCTGCAAATATAAACACAATAGATTACGTATTTTTTCTTTCGACCTCGTTTGATTGCTTTCATCGAATCAAAAATTTTGCGCTAATCGTAACTCTTATTATATCAAGAATATTCTAGGATGAACCAAAGTCGAGAGCACTTCAAGATGGTTTTTGCAAAAACTACAAAAGATGCCACAATGTTTAGGTTGATGAGCTTCAATAAATCGCTGGATAGTGATATCTTCACCGAACAATCAAAGGCAAGAGTGAACATTCACTAACTAGGCAGGTAGCCTACCTAGACGACTAGACTCTACACTTAACATCAAGTGAAATTGCGGTCAAATACATCGTGCGTTCATTTCAGCCAAACGACGACAAATGACAAATACTTATTCTTAATTAAATTAAACAAGTAAAGTTTGAATGAAACGACACAATCTTTGACTACAGTAGTTAGTCATTGTTCCATAAATTCTTTTTCATTTGTTAAAACAAATATCTGTAACGGTAACGCCTAATTTTACTTTATCCAATAACAAGCATTATCAAAAGGCTATGTGTGAAAAGTTGGGAAACCCGGTTACGCAATACAGTCGGCCATCTTTATTGAATTACACACTCTGATATAATGTCGCACGATGGCGTGCGCACTTGTGTTGTCTAGTTACCTATTTCGTGAAAATTTACATAAAGCAATAATAAATATCTTTAGTGCTTACGTTTAATGATATTGGCCCCAACATAGTTCCTTGTGGTACCCGTTGAATTTTCGACTGCGTGAGGTACCATTATTTTATCAAATATAGCAAAAGTCTCTTCAGCATTTTAAAACCACCATAATTTACTTTGAACAAAGTCAAACGCTTTAGCAGAATCTTTAATTGAGCTATCATCAGCTCAGCTACTTCCCTTAGCTTCCTGGCTATTTTCCACTAACAAAACGGAGCCCTAGAGATTATAATGCAAATCAACTTAATTGATTTATGTATAGCGTGTAAACAGCGGCCTTTGAGCAATATTACCATAAATTATATCCACATCCATAAAATTTACTCCAGCATAAACACGTGTAAACAGTTTTGTGTTTTTTATTAATTCATAATGTTGATAAACGCTATTAGGGTCAACTCTTCTGCTAATAAGTTAAAGTTCATTGCCTATCTTTCTTATTTGCCAATTTTGGTATATAATCATGATTAATATTTTGTACCGTTGTTTTATTTTCAACCTGAAAAATTAATTCGTACTAAAAAGTATTGAAACCCAAGCTTTAAACGTTCATTTTTCACAAACAAACTTTTCTTTTTGACATTAGAATATTATGTGTCAGTTTTTCTCCAATATTTTGATACTTGGGATCAAAATATTGGATTGAATCCCAATTACCGATTAAATACAATTCACAATTAGGCAAATCGACCCAACGATCACTGCGTACGCGAGCCGGCGCATGCACAGGCTAACCTTGTGGACAAGCCTGCCTTGAGGCGACTTCCACAGATGTTTCATTACCTGTTTAAATCCATACATCGTTTTCCTATTTCCGAAGCTTTGTTGACGACGTATGATTAATTTCCTCAATTCAAATCAAATTTCGATGTGAACGATAAATTACATTTCTTTTGTAAGGTTTCTACATGGATTGGAAATAAGTTCTAGTTACTAGTAAACTATTAATGTAAAATGAGCATACATATTATGTGCAGATTGATATTGTAACCAGTCATAAAAGTTAGGGTAGGTAATTATTACTGCTAAATTACTTGTTTCTAAAAATCTGGCTTGCGTTTCTCTTCTTCCTGTTTTGCCTTTACTCATACGTAAATAAAGAATACTATGTCGATTATTTAAAAGGTGTTTGCGGTGTTCTTAGATATTGTTGTGCAAAAACAAGACGAGGCCACAACCGCCGTGACAAGGTCGTTTCTTGCATTGACAAGTTGATTTCGACGGGCTAATGCACGACATTCGTGAACGTTCAATATTCAAACTTGCTCAACCCCCACCTAAGTTATTAGTATTCGATCCAAGTAATCCAAAACTTACCTAAATATTCTCTAATCCATTTTTTCTTCGGAGGAGGGAACGCGACTTTCTCGACGACCGCTTTAACTTCTTCCTTTACAGGATTCGGTATGAATGTGGAAGTGGAGGGTTTCTCGACTGGGGTCACCCGGGGAGCAGCGACGAGAGAAGTCAACACTTGCTGCTGCGGGTACCCGTAGCCGTTGATCGCGTGTCCATGGGCATGGAACTGTGTGTACGCCTTCAGCGTGATCGGTATTGGCTCCACAATACTACCGAACTCTGTCTCCCTGGTATTGATAGCGATGGTGTGCAGCGTGTCCGCGTAGAAATCGCCTGGAGTGCCCATCGCGCCGAACAATTCCGTCTCTGTTCGCCGCCTCCGGTAACTGGCAGTGCCCAGATTCACTTGCGTGGTTTCCATAAGTATACCCATTCTATGACGGGGCAACACATTTGCTAACTACAAGTCCCCATTGTTATTTCACTACGTCCTGTCCATTCTATTAACAAACTAAATTGTTCACACTTAATTTACTTATCTCCGGTAATATAATCACTGTTTAATCATTGTAACTGGCGAAGGATCTAGAAAACATGGAATTCTGCTCTCAGACGGTGCATTTGCGAGATCAGACCGGTACTGAAAACGAGTTGTCGTTTGCGCACCCAAAGTAATATATACGTTTGCTAATGACAGAAAGACAAATTAGGTCAGAGGTGGAATGTTTCTCGGAACCTCAAACGACTCGGTTAATGCTTATTGTTTGAGATATAGTTCCAAAATACTGGACTGTCCTGTCGATGACATTGACAGCGGGGCGCCACCGTCAATACCGAATCGCTGGTTCCGATTTTTGCCATGTTGGAAACCATAAAGTTGAACGATGGTAGCGCCCCCCTGTCATTGAGTTTGGTGGGACAGTTCAGCGTGGGTCATCTATAGTGTAGGTGTAGGCGTCAAACTGACACCGAAAGTCAAAAAACATTGTAAGGAACATTACGCCGCGCTGTTTACTATCCGAAAGCCTTTCAAGTACTGGGTGATAGCTTCATGTTCGCCAATCAAAAAAATCATAAATGATGTGATAAGTGAAATCAATAAGATAGTCACAGACGCGAACCTACGCACGCACGATATTTGTAAGAAAGAGATCGAGCGTGTGTGAGGAGGGAAGCTAAGAGAATGGGCGATATGAAGCGAGTTGGAAACGTCGGACTGCGCTGCGACGGCGCGGCGCTCAACAAGTGAGGGGAGGGCGACGAACGCATGGCATGGCTCGCCGGCACGTGCACTCCCCCCGCCCCCCACCACCCGCCACTGACAGTTAACTCAACCTCCTACAACTTCATGCGGCCCTGGTACAGTGGCCGACCGAATTGGCAGACATAGTGGATTTTCAACCAACGAACAAAAGAAACACGATCGAATCTTGCGATTTGCTCAACAATGTTCATTTGCCCGAGAGAAACGACGATACTACTCAAGAAACGAATGAAATATTAGAGTCTGAAACGGAACAAAACAAAGGACATTAACGAGTTATGCATATTCATAGAGAATTCGTTACGTGGCGAATATATTTTGTCGGAATGAGGCATCTGAATGGAAGCCAAGCGGCGTTTTTCCAACAGTCTCCGACAAATAAAGAAAAATTAGCAGCTGCTGTGTTCGTACTAGTAACACTGGTAATGTTATCGGTTTAGTCAGACTTAAATACAGCGTACACGTGCTATGAAAGCATTGCTGTTATCGTGCAATAACAAGCGGCTGTAAAACAACATTTAGAGTCGTTGTAGTGCCTACAGTGGCAGCAAATCTTTTGTTTGCGAATTAGGTTTTGGGGCATTGCGAATATAAGATAAGCAGAAACTTCTAAGTAGGTCGATACTCGGAACGCGGTCCCATAGTAAGGTCTCGGGCATATCGGTACGTCGGCGTACACGCGCGAGTTATATAAGCGAATCGACGACATGTGTCGGTGTTTATATTATGTAACTAGTTACCTACTGCTCAGCGTAAGCGTAGCTATAACAACACACTATGAGTTCTAACTATTTATATCGGTTGAACGCGATGATTGGATTGTAATAGGAAATATGATTTTTCTACCAGATCTCTGATGCGTTTTGATTTGACAAAGGGATTTCACAAAATTCCCATGTCTGTTCAGAAATTCAAAAGTGATGATAATGAAAGGAGTTGAATCATTTTCATAATTAAATTGTTTACATTATGGAATTGTAATTATTCATTCGTCTCGTTCTCTCGACTTTTCGTTATCAATCAAAACAAAGAGCTTGCAAAGATAAAGACCAATGGAAATGTATTGGATATTATCGAAACTCGGTTATATTATTCAAAAGACGACAGTCAGCATTCTAGAGGTCGGGACATAGTTGACGATGTAGCACCATTCGATGCATTACAAGATTGCAGTTTGCTATTGCGCAATAACTTGCGCAATTAAATAAATTATATGCCTTGAGTTATTTTTCTACACATAGAGTACAAAGCGATGTTCAATAAATGAATTCAGAATTACATTAATATTATCACCTCTTTGTAAGTTAGGTACATAAAGCTATCTGTAACGAATGCAAATATTTTCCTGTATCACTTCTAAGCGATGCAAAACGTTCCATTGTATGGTTAAATAGGAATTTGACCAGTAAACTTAAACAAATCTTAGTCAAGCCAAAGTAAAAATTATAAGAAAGAAACAATATAATTTAAATCAATAATTAAAAGCTCTAACAGAAAAACAAAAGACAAGAACAAAGAAAATCGTGAATATGACTCTGAGAAAATCAATAAAAATGAATCCAAAGAACTCAAAGAAACATTTTAAACTTATTAAATATGCTGCGAGTATAGTTTTACATAATTAAAAATCAGACGGACCTGACTACAGACGTGCAATTAATCGAATCAATTTAATAAATACTCATTTGCTTGACACAAATCAATACGATGGAGCTCTGACGTTGCTAATAGAATTAACTGTATACACATTTAACAAAAGAACTGGTTTTGTAACTCGCAAAGCCTTATTACAATGTTGAACGCTATTAAAGGAAATGGAGGGACAACATTTTGCATATCCAAAATCAAGAAACCAATTTTCCGTAATGGTAATACATCAAACGATTCTAACACAATTGAATTGTCCAATCATAGAGACAATAACAACGATCAAAAGATGCAGGACAAAGAGGATCAATTTGTTAGCGAAGTAGAAAATATCTGGAAGTTACAAAACTATCCCCGTGATCATTAAATGGAAAAACTTAAGACTAAAACTTCGACGCAAGAATGTACAACATACTTGAACATACGCTTTGAAGATAAACGAAAACACGTATCGAAGGTATTTCTTGATATCTACACGGTTGCCAGGGAAATTAATTATGTAATCTATTATTTCAAGGGACACATTGTGAAATGATAAGAACCATTATATTGCTTCTAGACTCTTCACAATATGAAGTGTAACTGACTACTTTTTAATTCAAGAATTATTCGTATTAGTTTTAAAAGAACATTTGGGTGCGCATCGAGATAAGCGTTGAAAATTTTGCAAGATTGGGGAAGGTCTGAGTTTTCTGAAGGGGAACAATGGCGAGAGGCGCCGCGCTAATCCTAGCTGGGGGAGGGCGCTCAGCGAAGCTGGCGGGTGGACGATGCTGGCGCTGAGGCCGCAGCTAATCGTCGGCTGCAGCGGTCGGCACGTGGGGCGCGGCGCGCAGGTGCCGCCGACCTCGCGCTATCTCGTCTCGCCACTCGAGGCCGATGATAACGCACGCTATTTCCAACCCACGCCGCCAGCTCGCGGTCGTGACCATCGCAAACGCAACCGCGAATTACCACGACTCCCAAAACAGACGCCGGAGGACCCCCGGCGGTGACGATTCACGCGAACCGCCGACCGTCTACGCGACACGATAGTTCGAGGCGAGCCAGCCGCCGTCGACGCGATCCGCTCGACGACTGAGTGGCCGCCGAGGGCCGCGGACGGTTCCGTCTCGAGGAGGGAGGCGGGAGGAGCGCGACCTCCGGAACCCCGCGCCGAGCGTCGCGAGTGAAACCGACGGCGGACGAAATCGCGAGGGGCAGCGGCGCGGGGGGCGCGCACGCGGTCGAGCGCAACGCTCGCCGCTGCACTGCTCTCGGCACTTTACATAACGCTGCATGAAGCTCGCCGCACTCGCTCGCACGCGAAACGAGGTCGCAACGGCGGCCGCGGGACACCCACAGAATTTAAAGAGCCCCGATCGGCCGTAGGTGATGAAACGGCTGCATTAGCACGCAGATGACGTGTTCTGAGGAGTTAGTCGGTCGCCGGCGGAGTCACTGAACCTCGACGCGACGAATAAGGTGAATGGAACATTGCAACCGAATCGAGCGGCACAACAGTGCGAACCGACGCAAGAGTCGCGTAGCGGTGCCGCTTCTTATGCACAATGGCTATAGCCACAGTAGATATATGAGCTAAAGCAGTACGGAAACTTAGCCCTTTCGGCGAGTTAAATACCTACACTTCAACTGAGTGTTAGGGTTGGCACTCTTAATCTTTATAAAATTAATAAGGTTCTGACTTACGTACTTATTAAAACGTTTATTTAGGTTTTTTAATTATCAAATACTTAATGGAATAAATTAATTGACTAAGTAGCTAGTTAACAAAAAAATAAAACGTTAATTAAGTAGGTTCTATAAAAATCGAATACATAATCGAATAAATTAATTAAGTACTATTAGAGGCCGGTAGAAGATATTCTATTCTCATAAATAAAATGCCGGATACTTACTTTCACATAGCTATTGCCTCATTTTAAATACAGTTCATCACTTAGTACAAAAGCGCGCGGAGCAAATTTATTTATCAAATAGAACACATAAATTGTTAAAAAGCGTAATTACGTAATTTAAAAAGAACTATTACTAAATCAGATGTAAGCACTTTATTTAAAAAGTAATATTTAATAATTTTTACAATTCAGAATTATTACGAAGTTTAAAAAATGAAAGTTCTGGTTTTGAAGATGCCGAGTTTAAGCAGCCGTATACTACGCAATACACTCTTGGCATGTTTTTAAAAATACAGCGGACAGTGCATACAATAAAATTATTATTAAAAACACAACGCGCGCGACACTCGCGACGGATGGACTGCGAGGTTCGCTTAGAGCTTGTGTAAAGCGTGCGTCTGTGTGCGTGAGTCTGATTTCGAGCGTTTGTATGAAGCTTCCGTACTGTTTGATTTATCTACTGTGCTATAGCTTTCTAATGAGACGTGGCCGGTGCAGTGTTAGTCTTCCTTTCCACGCTGAAAGGCGTAGGTAGAGATGGCGTCATGGCATCGATCTGGTTGAAAGCAGTTCATTTTACATGAATCACTGATTTTCAAGCTATCGACGAAGCTTGGAATTGCTAAATTGAGTTTAAGTGTTCGTCGATAACGGAACAATTAGGCCAACGTAAACTTTTATGGCGTTGAGCACGAAAATGAGCCATCTTGCCTTACGTCATAAGCACTAATCTTGCTAATAGGATTTCTGTTTGTTGTAGTAGTGTTTGCGCGATACGTTCTACTCCGCGCTCCTACGCGCACCGTGGCACGTGTTTGTTATCTATATTACACCGCCATATCTAGGTCCGTCATAGCGCACTCGAGTCTAGCTGCTCTCCAAACAACGATCACGAGAATACTCGGCCAACGTGGCGAGCCCTGAACTCTTAAAAGTTTGCGGAAGCGGAAAAACGTTAGAAGCCTTTTCAAACCGATAGAAATCTGTTCCTTTGTGCAAGAACACGCACACAGGATATGATTATCTCGGATCTGCCGAGAATTCGGAATCTACGGAGCGTAACTCGAGAAATGTGGGGGAGGGCGCCCATTATGTGGAGTGCAGCTCACAGGAGCACATAAGGGGTCATCCATAAAGTACGTCACACGTAAAGAGGGGGGGAGGGGGTTGACAAAGTGTGACATGGTGTGACAAGGGGTGGGAGGGGTCCTAAGTTTCGTGACATCACATTTCAATTGTTTCAAATATTTTATATAATGTTGATTTCATAAAAAAGTACTTAATTTAAATGGAAATAAAACTAATTTCGGAACTGCTCTTAATTTAATAATTTTTCGATGTGAAATTGCAAAACATGTGACGTCACACTAGGGAGGGGGGGATCTCAGAAATGTGACCACCTGTGACAAGGACGGAGGGGGGGTCAAAAAATCATGAAATTCGTGTGACGTACTTTATGGATGGCCCCTAAGTGAGTGGGTGCAGGTTCCGGCAAGGTGGCTGAGGCCTGGGGGAGCGGGCGCGCATGCGTGCGCCGGCTGACCTTGGTGCACCGGCCCCCGCCCCGCCCGGGAAAACACCGCCACGCGAAACCTCCCGCGCTCCTGCCTGCACCTCTGTACCACACCTGCCGGTTTAGCAGGTTGGTGCGTTGCGACCTAGCATTGTGCCTAGATTCTATTTGTGGAACGCCGAGTCCTGATTAAATCAAGTTGCGCTGCGAAATGAAATTTTTCGACGCACCAACGCGATTCAATTCTTTTGAGACCTACAAGTAAGTACACCTAGCTTGAAGAATACCTAAGTGTTTACATTTCGGCTGGATGTGTGGCGCAGCATGTGTTTGATGAGACAATTAGCATTGCTAATGGCCGTCGGGTATCATCAGTAATCAATAATGAGCAGACGACTGGAGTGGAAACAAGGGGAGCACCGGATGCCGATACGAGCCGTCTGCGCAGCGAGAAAGGTCCTGATTAACGCACCGATACTGCAAAATGCATTTCAATGTTACAAACAGGAAATGTATGAACAATTTCAACTTATAATGGCCACTATCTAATTTGTATGGGTGATGGATTTTGAGCGACCTCAACTCGTGTGGCTGCTGATTGCATATTATGTCAAGTTAGGTATACAGATATTAAAATATTCACGAATATATTCCAACAATACTCACAGAACGTTGAATTTCTTGATCGTATTCAAAAGATGCCATTCAAGGAAATGCACAAAGGAAACAAAGACTGCGTTTACATCAGATGATAATACACTATTAAAAATGCGAATTAAAATTCAAAATGCTCCAGGGTACTCCTACATTAACCCCACGAAGGTCCAAGCTCTGCAATAAAGTCGTGAAATATAGGCTGAGAACTTGTAATTTTGGCATCTTAAACATAAAATGTTATGGCAATCAACTTTTTTGAATACATACATCACAGCTGAAACCGGACATTACCAGAATATCTCCCCATAAAAATTCAATGAGATGTTCGGGAATGGAAAAATTCAGAACCGTGGTCAACCAACTGTTCGCACGTGATCTCAGACTGAAAAATAGTGTAAAAGAAATTGGCAAAATTGACGCAGGGTACATTTTGACTAGGATTAAAAATTCGCATTCATTTAAAATTGTTAACAGATAACGGTAGCAGCTCGAGGTACCGTTGCCGAACTAATACATAGGCAATATGTAAATCTTTTGATACAATCCCTGGTGGTAGCTACTCCCTGGCCAAATATACAATTCTAATTTTATTTTCTTCCACCAAATGTTTTTATAAGTCGCCTTTTTAAAATATATTTGCTGTTAAACAACGTGAGTTTATACAGATTTTGTCAATATTCAAAATTATTCAAGTTCAGTTCCGGGCGTTATTTCAACTAACCGTATTTTTTTCGTTTCTAATTCATGTAAACGAATAATACATTTATTTTTCACTGCCATAAAAACACGGCTTGCGTCTGACTTTCTTCAGACGAGTTCCAATAATCCGAAAGTAGGCGAAAAGCGTCATAATATCCAAGCTGGAAATTCTGAAGCTCTCCCAAAACGTTTTACAGTTTCGAAAAAAGATTGTCGTTGAAAAACAGCGCGCAAAAAGCGTCGATTCAAAACAGCCAGTGTTTACGACGGTCCTATCGTCTCACAGTTCAATATACTACAGGCGTAACGTCCTCACAGACCCGCATGCGAGGTCACCACGCCTTTCACCGCCCGCGCCGACCTTCCTCGAGCCTTGGTGATACGATTGTACGCCTAACTTGTGGACTGACGCATCGCAATTGAAATGAGCAACGTACTGCACCTATATTGAAGTAACGATGATGACGACAATATCTTAGAACCTAAACCTCGAACTTTAGTTGCGCACGGAGCGGAAAATGGGTCATTATCTGGTGACCCTGCAAGAATTAATATTGACGCATGTAGGTTACTTTGCTGTACTCTCAATTCTTCATCGTATTGCTACTTTAAAAGACACTGGCTTCCCTTCATAACAAACCAACGTGACAACGAGAAAGTTGTGGTTGTAGAAAATTATTCAAGAACCAATAGTAACATTGGCATTGAATAGAGTTGTTCATTCATAAATGAGCGTAAAAGAAACTGAACTATTAATATAAACACTGCAATCTTATTTAAATCGTCAACGTCTATCAATCAACCATTGCTAAAATCAAAAAATCGCGAAAAATGTACACCCTGATCTTGTTTAGCAAAACCTTCAATTCCATAAAGAAGAAAATTTGATATTTTCGACACCTCTTGCCAGTAATTGGGAAAACCTGTTAGAGATAAGGATAATAATATACAATCACGCAATAGTGTTTGAAGAAAACCCAATAATGTGAATGCTAACGTACACACAGTGTTCGTCATACACATGCTAAAAATAAATTAATTTAATCATTGAAATGGGAGGCCATCACTGTTAGACACGTGGGTAAAGTTAAACTTCTCTAAACTACAGAAATATAGTTGTAGCTCAAAATTAAACTACACTTGGATATGCTAGTTGCCCGCTTGTTAAAAGTTAAAACATTGTTTTAACTAAAATCCGACGTTTGAAGCCCGTTTGTTGGGAATTTTGTATAATTGCATACAATTTAATTGTGTTGCAATTTGGATGTGGAAACTTACCGGAGAAGCTTATGGTTCTACGAGTTACCTATTGTGCATTATGATGAATTGGTTAGTCATATGAAATTGAATGGTTTGGTCATTTATTACGTTAACATCTATGAGTAACAAACCTCATTAGGAATTTAAATTATAGTAACAAAGTAGATGATTATTATGACAAAATTTTATAATTCTAGCAAACACCTCGTTTCTAATTATCATCTTAGTGGATGTAAAGTCTACATGTTTCCTTACGTGATCCCATTTGTGTTTGCGTCAAGCATTTTCATAAAATTATGAATAAATTTTAATGATGACTCACACGTCACACAATCATCGTGTTTCAGTGTCGAATAAGTGAGAAATTTTAACTTCTCATGGCATCTTTTGCTTAATCAAAGCATTCAGAAGCAAAGAAGGGTAACAACTGGCAAGTAAAAGATTCCTTCCCCTATCTATTCCAGTTGAATGCTCGAAGTAATGTTCACAATCTAACTGCCAAGAAAAAATGGGCCCCATTAAGAAGGTACAGTTTTGAAATTTTCCACTGCTATTTTGTTTTTGTTGATAATTCGACCTTTTGAAACTCAATTAACGGTTGTTGAACATTTGTGGTAAGTTTTTGCTGATAAAAAAGAAGATAGAGCCACGAACTCTGCTGAACTCTCCTAAATCAAATCAAATCTAAATAAAATTTAAAATGACATGTTTACTTTTAATTTAATTAAGTAAGATGTTGAACAATGTATTTAAATCCAAGCATCAGGTGATGTTTGTGTACAAATTATAGTTGTCACAAAGTATTAAAATTAATCTAGCAAGTGCAAGAACACATGCATAGTTTGCGATAAGCCGACTCTACGTAATATAACTATTAATAGAATAGAATAGAATAATGATCTAATCCCAATTCATTTAATAATACTCGAAGAGAGACAGCAAATTTCAAGAGTACGAGTCTGAACAAGGGATTCACGGAATACCTGCATTACAATAAAATTGTAGAATTTGTAAAGATAATACAATTTACCCCAACGTAGCTATTACATAGTAAATCAATCATAGCGACAGATGGTGTAGGGCTCACGTAAACCTTATGCCCTTTACTCTAATGCACCTGCCTACTGTCCAGTTTATCATTAGATATTAAACAGAAAGTAGTTTCTAGAACGCATAGACCTAACGTCATTAGATAACTTACATCTATGGCAGTAATCGATACAATAATTTCCGAAAATTTTAGGATTACAGCAAATTAGCACACGAATCAAGACTGTGTGCAGAATGCATCGACCAAACTACTCCAACTTATATTTAGGTAAATCCATCTCATCATTTTGCATCTGTTCTTCGTTGATTGAACAATTTTGACCAGTTTATACCTGTGTATCATTTCAATACAGTGTCTCTTCATCCAATACCCAAGCTATTTGGGACGGATCCTCTAAAAATAACAAAAGCACGTTCACGTCTCCCCGACACCTTTTATCGAAATGTAATAAAAATTGCACGTTCCGAACCACGTCGCAAGATGGAAGCTCTGTCGCATAACGGTTCTACATCGGTGAGTTTACTAGGCGCGCAGAGGCGGCGGGAGTTGGCCCGGCGATAAGAAACGATAAGCACGACGGTCCTTATCACAACGTGTTAAGATTCATTATTGCGAGTCTCACGGATGAGAGCACTCGACACGCGTCGCAATAGGTTCTTTGTGACAACCGTTTGCTACAATCAGACCCTCGTGACGCAACCCTTTTAGAAAACAATGCAGCTTCGGGAATTTTTTTGGTTTTTGGAAGAATTTTAGGGTGGAGCTTCTTAAAGATAGCAGTGGTTTTGCGTTTGTTAAATCAGCCGGCCTTTCTTTAGTTGCAGGTACTGTTACGTTCAATGAAAGTATAGTAAACGAGGCAACTATTCTAGTAGCGACCCGAACAGCATTGTTGTTTGGGAATTTGCTTGGACAATAATTGGTGAATTGGAAGTTTGGAAACAGTAATTGTATGGAATTATCTTTCTGATTGCGTTTCAAATCCCATGCCAATTTTCCACTTAAGCCTTTGATCTTCGTGATTTAATTTTGTATTTGTAAGGCTCACGAGACCCTCAAAATCACAAATTGTTTGAATAAGTACTTACTTGGAAAATATCATCCTATCAAAGAAATTTTACTTATTTTGGAAGAACAACGGGACTACATTCACAAGTCTCTACATTCTTATAGTCCTACACATTGCCCAAGATTTTAAGGATTTTTATGACATCCCACTCACAGCAATGAGCGTATACCAACAGGCCCATACATTGCAACAGCAGTGATTTCATTTACCAATGATAATCACGCCTCGTGGCTATTAAAAACGATTACGATATAAATAGGCGACATGTAACTAACTATACCCATTTATTTAGACTAATTGCAGCTTTACCTTGTACTGTTGGTAGTGATAAATATAATAAACATTTACTTAAAAGGAAAGGAGAAAGTTTTTGCCTGGTTTTTATGAAAAACACAAGACACTGACGGTAAACAATGACGTAAACTACACTTGGTAGAGCTATAACTTGGGATACTGGAGAAGAAATTGAAAATTTCAGAACAGTTTGAAATATTTTGAGAGAAAGTTGGTTCCTGAAGGATTTCTAAGTTATATTAGCTTTAATAGGATGTAGAGTCGTCATATCCATCGCGAATTTGACTAACGGCATCCATAGCAATTATTTTTGGTCTGTTTGTAAGTTCGTCATGCTTATCTACGCCTATTAGTAAACAGTCTGGCTGAGACTTCCTCATAATCGCGCTGCCAGCCTACCTAGCTTGTAAACAATTGAATTCTTCGATAACCGTCGTAGCACCGTTGCAGATTGCAGGTCTTGTTGAACAATGAGTAGACACGCTCCTTACGCAACACGCCTTGTGCTAGTTTTTCTCGAGGTAAATATACTCAAATTCTATGTAGTGAGAGAGGATGCAGTGTAAAATTACTACACAGCGCATCAAGCGCAGTGGCCGTGTCTTCACAGCGCCCGCGCACCCCCTCCACCGGCGATCAGCTGACTGGACTCCAGCTCGTGCTCACTTCAAATGCGTCATGCTCCGAAATGCTCCACGTACACACCTCGCCCCATCGCTTACTCGCCACCCACTCGCACTAGGAAAATACGCGACACGAGGAGATCGGAGATAGTTCAGTCGAGCGTTGTCTATGCCTCGCCCACGTAAGCGAGTTGACACACGCAAATAGGCGTACTGTGTGCGTGGCCGCTGCCAAATAGATGCGTTGTTTGTTGTTTTAAACGCAGAGATTATAGGAGTTACGTTGCGCTGCGGAATGAATTTCAGGCTTCCTTTGTTTACGTGGGGCGAGGCCGCGGGGGGCGGGGGTGCGCGGCTGCGTGCTGTTCAAGGTCAAGAGCGCCGGGCGTCGGCTGCACTGCCGCGCCGGCGACCGGTCGTAAGCCGCGCCGGTGCTACGGCCGCCGGCGCCGGGACTTACCGGCCTGGTGGCGCCGCTCCTGCAGCTCGATGAAGCGCGCCGCCTCTAACAACGTGTCGAGGAGGCTCATTTCGGAAGCGGCAGAGCCGCGCGCGGTTCGAGCGCGCCCGCTGTCACGCCGCGACTGACCACGCGCGCCGCCGGCTCTCACGTGGCCGCCGCCACTACGCGCCAATGGGCTGCGAGCGCGCGAGTCACGTGACCGGCGCGCGGGGCCAATGGCGGCGCGAGTTGCGGCGACGTAGCACGGGGCGTGCGCGATCGATGCCATTGCAGCGGCCGGCGATCGAATGCACGCGCCCCGCGCCCCCGCCGTGACGCGGCAAGCGGCACGCTGCTCTCGCTACCAACTCCATTCAACTGACTGACGACCCAATTGGAGTCTTATTGCGCGCGCAATAAGAAACTCGCAATCGCACAGCGGAACCGGTTCAAACTCGGCTTTGTTTATCTAATACTTTTCCTCTGTAATGCTCGCTCTCGATCAAATTGTTTTGTGTTAATTTGCAGTGTGCAGTGCGTAATAAGGCCGGCGGAGATGAGGTCCCGGGCCCAGGTGAGGCGAGGTGAGGTGCAGTCGCGCAGGGCACGTGTTGTTGCGGACTTTCACTTCCTACTTGTCGCTGCGGTTAACAAGTTGTCCGAGAAAATTCTGCCGAGTTATCTCTAAGCACCGAAATACTTCGCGAATCACAATAAAACGCGTGTATTATCAGCCGCTTGTTTACTATTTATTAGGTGATTAACTTTTATTATTGCGGCCCGAATTGTGCGAGTAATATTCCATGGAATCGCGTGGGTATAATGATTAATAATTACATAAAACTGGCCCCTAGACTGGCGGATCACGATGGAAAAATGTAATCACATGGAAGACTTTTTCGGTCATTTTTTGAGGGCGGGCTGCTGACAAGGACGTCTCTACATCAAATAATATTCAACTCTATCACAAAAGTACTATGGGCTAGATTGCTTTGGAAAGCTTATTTTCCTGTGTACTAGACACATGAATGGTACCGCTAATGACATACTAAACTAGATATGTAATTAAGGATTTAATTAATTATTTTATTCTGACATTCTCGACGCGTTATTGGTTCAAAATTACACAAAGGACTGGTATTAAAAATCATCTACATTTATTAAAATCGTAAAAAACATTTAACATTCTCTGGCCATTAAAACGTATATGAATCGACCAGATATCATATCTATATGGTAGAGATATCCCATATTGCGTGAGACTTTCGAACGAAAGTTCCAAGTAACTCATCGCAATGTAAAACCATATGAATTGTCACTGTAGATTATTACACATAAACTGTGTCACTTGCATCATACAAAATGTACATACATCATCAAGATAAACACCGTAGCATTTTATGTCATTACAATAAGTGCGAATTTGCAACAAATAAATGTATATTTTAATCTGCTGTCGACTGTACTTTGTTCTGTACATGTAGCAAGTATAAGGCAATAAATAGTGACTCATATACCTATTTAAAGTCACACTAAAGTGAAATGTGTTTTATTTCAAAATGTCATTGCTATTTCTTGCACAGTTGTTTATGGATTTAATATAAAATATGTGTTTCTACAGTAAATACAACAAAATATGCATTTGAAATTATTAAATACTTTAAACAACATTATTATCAGGGCCTTTAAGATGCCACAGTGATTACCTGGATATGCTGTGGTCTGTACAATAACAAATTCACCTCTAGACATTGAATGACACTTACCACAATTACAGTGAAAATCCAGTTTTCTTAACACGTTGCACGCCAAGGGATAACCAAAAATACTAAATAACACTTACCACAACTACAGTAAAGTAAGACCCACGTTTTCTTAGCAATTTGCACGCCAAGGGTAACCAAAAATATATTTTCTGACGTGTTCAGCCTCTCAGTAGTATCTTAAAATATGGTTTTCATGTAAATTTTTATATGTATATGCGGATTCAGGGTCTGAAATCATACAGTCAGAATGTTGTTTAAAGATGTTTATTTTAATAATAATGTAACACTGTCTAGCTGAGAATTAAGCTGTCATTGTATATTCCAATCACAGATTACATTTTGATATGAATCGTAATTACAACATGTGACTTACTTGTTATGTAAATTACACTCAAATTGATCTCTCATTTTTGGTTATTAATTACTTATAAATTGTACAAAATACAGTTTGAAACCCAGTTTCCTAATAGGGACCTGACACTATTAAGAAATAATCAAATATTTCCTTGAAGAAACTCACAAAAACAATGGTCAAAAATTGGCTTTTAAATTGATTTTAAACCGGATGTGTCAATACGTAGAATTCTAAATTCGCTGTGGAAATTCAGCCTTTTGGTGACGTACTCAAGTACATTTTAAATAAATAATTCAAGATCTTTTGCATGGGAGATGGGTTATTGATCTATGTATACCATAAATGTTTAAAACATCATTTCTAAACTGTATTTTTTAAAATATAGAGTTCACATTGAGTCGTCGTTCAAAATAATCGAAGACTATACAGTTTGTAAATGCTCTAACGCAAGATCTGATAAAAGTTGTTACTAACAATACCATTTGCATAATTTATGTGGATTAGCAATGTGTACACGATTTTGCGTTAATTCGATTACACTCTGTATAGCAACCAACAAAAGAAAAAGGTTCCTTTTTGTGGGAAACGGATATAGGTCAGACATTTGTGGTTAAAGCGACAACTCATTGATTACTCAAAGGAACCCTAGTCAGGAAGCGTTTTTTAAGCATTAGGGTGTTCAGTTCATTCACACTACATAGCGCTGGTGTTATTTATATGATACTGGAGAGCCTTGTACGCGTCTCAAGCAAAAATATGGCTCGCGCAGCGCAGTCTACGTATGTGTGATTCGATGCCTATAACGTTCAATGACAACCTGACTTTAAGACAAGTGAAAAGAGTTCAAATTGTGGTGATAAGTAGAACCACATAACCTCAACTTTACTAAGCTTTAAAGTAGGTAAATTGTTCTACCAAAATACAAGTTGGTAATATTCAAAATATTGGCAAAAATATCCCAAAAAAGTTAAAATTTCGTCTAACTAGCAGTAACATTATATTACTGTTCAACCACATCACATTGCTTACGTAAATATAGTTTAATATATCGACAAAATATTGCTTTCAAGCGCTATATTGCTACGACTACGCAATATTTACACTCTTACAATGCACACGAATACTATACTATACTACTTAATATTAGTAATTTCTTATATTCTTGGTATATGTACCTATGTGATTATTGCTAGGGGAAGGACGAAGTGGTTCTTAAATAATAAAAATAATTGAGATGTTTCAAACACTTGTGTAAATACAAATAGTTATCTAAACCACAAAATATTATGTGAAATAAATAAATATAAATAACAAAACTTCTGGTGATATCAGATACCACATAAATATAAAATATTTTCAGTTTTATTATGGTACTATATTTTTAGATACATACAGTAATATAACAATATGCAAGTAAATAAAGTTATATGCTATTCTAGCTGTGTAATTTCAAATACGAAGTTGGTGACAATTCTGATCAGCTTTTTACCGGTGTAGAAAAAAAAACAATCGACGTGGAATGCCCACATTTGTCCAGTGGATACATATCAAAATATAGTGACAACATTTAGAATATCAATGTCATTTTTAGATTGCTCTTTCAAATAGTTCAAGATAAAAGGAGCTAGAAGTAAATTGTTTTCTTTGTGTGTACTTTACGACTTCGTATTTGAACGATTGTATTTCTAATTAATATAGTATTTAATGACACGGTAGTGGTTTCGTATTTGCTATTTCTACAATTAACTAGAGAAGCATTGGTGCATTGGTTTACATTAGCACCTGTTCTACTAAGTCCTTAGAATTCTTGTTTATTTAAATTGAAATTAGATGCCAATGTTTAGATCGCACTTATTGTAAAACATGTGAAGTCTAAAATGCTGTGACAGTTGACAGGACAGCACTAATTCTTGTTGCAAAATCACACGTATTGCATTTGAATAATATGCCACATTGCTAAGCTTTATATCCTACAACATAGGACAAAGCAAAACAGGCGTCATTGGGATATTCAACTATGTCGCACCAGAACTATGAAGGCACCTTTTTTTTAAAAAATCTGTAACTTTCCGTTTTCACATTTAATAACTATTGTATAATTTTAATGTTTTTCTTGAATAATATTGCACACATTCATATAAAGATGTATTTAAAATATACTGTATAATATTTGATACACCGTAATATCACAATATTCTCATGATTATCTGTCATTGCCTAATTTTGAGGCTGCGACTTACCTACATTCGCAAATAAATGCTTTGCAAGCCAATAATTTCAAAGGACGCTGTATCATAATATAATACTAAATTACTTATGAATTGTGAACCTTATTTTAATGAGAGATAGAGAGAAAAAAGTCCTACACAATTCGACAACCGTAACACAAAACAATCACGCAATATATTGCCAATATTTGTACCATGATGTTAGACGTGAACAATCGAATATAAAACTAAAAAACAAATGGTTACGTTTCATAACGTAATAACGCTATCGCTAACGGTATCCGTTACGGCGGGTAACGGGTTAATACAATAATTGAACTAGCGCTGCGAACGCGCGACTAACCTACGTGCGGCGCGCGGCGCGGCGGCGAGGCTCTGCGACCCTGGTGGTTGGAAGACCTAGAAACAAGAAAAAAAGGTACGATAGAATACACTTCATATAAAATCTGTTTTTTATGGACCTCGAAAATATCTTGTTAATATCACTCAAGTGATATAACAAGATATTTAGAATTCTGGTGAAGGTAGCGGGAAGTACCTGGATGCAAGCGGCGCAGGACCGGTCTTTGTGGAAATCCTTGGTGGAGGCCTTTGTCCAGCAGTGGACGTCTTTCGGCTGAAACGAACGATATAACAAAAGAAATGAGTATCATTTCTTCCAAAAGATCAGGAGGTAGCGGTATGTCTACATAGAGGCATTTGCACAACTACTAGGATATTCTGAAACATTTTGTTATAAAAATTAGTTTGACCAAACATACCAGGGTGCCAATGGTATCGAAGAGTTGCTCTGCCCTCTCGCAGGCTATCGGCTGAGGTTGCTGACGTAGAGGCTCTTGAGCTCGATCTTGAGCGTGTTCCTGATCCGCACTCACCAAAGACCAGGGTGCCAGCGGTATCTAGGAGTTAGTTACCCAGCACTCTTGTAGGTATCGGCCGAGGCATCTAGCATATAGGGCCCTTGAGTAAATGTTCTCTGAAAAGCAAATGTTTCTCACACTTGACTTACCAAAGACCAGGCCGGGTGCCAGCGGTATCGAAAAGTTTCTCTGCACTCCGGCTCAGGATGTTGGATATGGTTGCTGACATTCATACTCTAACTCAGCGGTTGCCAAACTTATTTAGTCTACTGCCCACTTTGAGAATAAATATTTTTTTAGCGCCCCCCATTTTTGTAGTCAAGAGTCGAGCTCAGTCGGTGTCTAAGAGTCCTCCTAGTAGATGACGCCTCCAAAGCCTCTACACAACGTCCCGATTTTTTTTCTGGGTCTCTTACCGCCCCCCTTTAAGCCTGCAGCGCCCACAAGGGGGCGTTATCGCCCACTTTGGGAAAGACTGCTAACTAGAGGGACTCTAATCTCAGAATTTTTCACCCCAAAATGACATGTTTTACTCACCAAAGACCAGGGTGCCAGCGGTATCTTGGAGTTGCCCTGGCCTCTCGCAGGCTATCGGCTGAGGTTGCTGACGTAGAGGCTCTTGAGCTCGATCTTGAGCGTGTTCCTGATCCGCACTCACCAAAGACCAGGGCGCCAGCGGCATCGAGGAGTTAGTTACCCAGCACTCTTGTAAGTATCGGCTGAGGCATCTAGCATATAGGGCCCTTGAGTAAATGTTCTCTGAAAAGCAAATGTTTCTCACACTTGACTTACTAAAGACCAGGGTGCCAGCGGTATCGAAGAATTTCTCTGCACTCCGGCTCAGGATGTTGGATATGGTTGCTGACATTCATACTCTAACTCAGCGGTTGCCAAACTTATTTAGTCTACTGCCCACTTTGAGAATAAATAATTTTTTAGCGCCCCCCATTTTTGTAGTCAAGAGTCGAGCTCAGTCGGTGTCTAAGAGTCCTCCTAGTAGATGACGCCTCCAAAGCCTCTACACAACGTCCCGATTTTTTTTCTGGGTTTCTTACCGCCCCCCTTTAAGCCTGCAGCGCCCACAAGGGGGCGTTATCGCCCACTTTGGGAAAGACTGCTAACTAGAGGGACTCTAATCTCAGAATTTTTCACCCAAAAATGACATGTTTTACTCACCAAAGACCAGGGCGCCAGCGGTATCTTGAAGTTGCCCTGCCCTCTCGCAGGCTATCGGCTGAGGTTGCTCACGTAGAGGCTCTTAAGCTCGGTCTTGGGCGAGTTCTCGATCTGTGCTGACCAAAGACCAGGGTGCCAGCGGCATCGAGGAGTTAGTTACCCAGCACTCTTGTAGGTATCGGCTGAGGCATCTAGCATATAGGGCCCTTGAGTAAATGTTGTCTGAAAAGCAAATGTTTCTCACACTTGACTTACCAAAGACCAGGGTGCCAGCGGTATCGAAGAATTTCTCTGCACTCCGGCTCAGGATGTTGGATATGGTTGCTGACATTCATACTCTAACTCAGCGGTTGCCAAACTTATTTAGTCTACTGCCCACTTTGAGAATAAATAATTTTTTAGCGCCCCCCATTTTTGTAGTCAAGAGTCGAGCTCAGTCGGTGTCTAAGAGTCCTCCTAGTAGATGACGCCTCCCAAGCCTCTACACAACGTCCCGATTTTTTTTCTGAGTCTCTTACCGCCCCCCTTTAAGCCTGCAGCGCCCACAAGGGGGCGTTATCGCCCACTTTGGGAAAGACTGCTAACTAGAGGGACTCTAATCTCAGAATTTTTCACCCCAAAATGACATGTTTTACTCACCAAAGACCAGGGTGCCAGCGGTATCTTGGAGTTGCCCTGGCCTCTCGCAGGCTATCGGCTGAGGTTGCTGACGTAAAGGCTCTTAAGCTCGATCTTCGGCGTGTTCTCGAAGAGTGCGGCGCGGTTCTGACTCTTGAGCAATGTGTGTGACGTTGTAAGTTAATTTAATGAATACTCACCAGTGTGCCAGCTGTATCAGAGAGTTCCTGCCCTCTCACAAGCTATCGTCCGAGGTTGCTAACATTAGAACTCTAGCTAAAGTACTCTAATACAAACAAATTGGACTCACCAAAGACCAGGGCGCCAGCGGCATCGAGGAGTTAGTTACCCTGCACTCTTTCAGGTATCAGCTGAGGCATCCTAGCATATAGGGCCCTTGAGTGAATGTTCTCTGAAAAGCAAATGTTTCTCACACTTGACTTACCAAAGACCAGGGTGCCAGCGGTATCGAGGAGTTGCCCTGACCTCTCGCAGGCTATCGGCTGAGGTTGCTGACGTAGAGGCTCTTGAGCTCGATCTTGGGCTTGTTCGTTATCTGCACTCACCAAAGACCAGGGTGCCAACGGTATCGGTAGAGTTAGTTACCCTGCACTCTTGTAGGTATCGGCTGAGGCATCTAGCATATAGGGCCCTTGAGTGAATGTTCTCTGAAAAGCAAATGTTTCTCACACTTGACTTACCAAAGACCAGGGTGCCAGCGGTATCTTGGAGTTGCCCTGCCCTCTCGCAGGCTATCGGCAGAGGTTGCTGACGTAGGGGCTCTTGAGCTCGATCTTGGACGTGTTCTCGAAGAGTGCGGCGCGGTTCTGACTCTTGAGCAATGTGTGTGACGTTGTAAGTTCATTTAATGAGTACTCACTAGGGTGCCAGCTGTATCAGAGAGTTTTCCTGCCCTCTCACAAGCTATCGTCCGAGGTTGCTAACATTAGAACTCTAGCTAAAGTACTCTAATACAAACAAATTGGACTCACCAAAGACCAGGGTGCCAGCGGTATCTTGGAGTTGCCCTGTCCTCTCGCAGGCTATCGGCTGAGGTTGCTGACGTAGAGGCTCTTGAGCTCGATCTTCGGCGTGTTCTCGAAGAGTGCGGCGCGGTTTTGGCCCTCTCCCTTCTTCACCCAGTGGCCGTACACTCGGAACGCGCAGCCGTCTATCACCTGGAAAAAATAAAAATTATATGAATATTATGTTTTGAAAACTGAGACTATTGTTTTTGTCTATGGCATCAAAAGATCAGAGACAGGTCAAAAAAATCCTAAACGAGATATATTTACGAATGGTTAAGTTACTGTAACTACCACGTTGCCAGTGCCATATAGCATTTTTCACCCATTAACGCATCAAAGCGTGAATACTGATTTGCTTAATGCGTAATTTATTTTTCTGTTAACAATATCACGTGGGAGAGGTCAGATGCGACCTATGGAGAAACTAGCTTGCCCAGAAGATGCCTGTTTTTTGAAGGTTATGACGTTGTCAGATATCGGGAGGTAAGTAGATCCAAGTGCTCGCCTTCCTAAGCACCCTCATGGGTCTCGTAAAGCCTCCTCCAACGGCGGACCCGAAGAGCGTCTTCCAGTGGTAGAGCCCTTGTAGACGTAGGTATGCGGCAGGCGACTCAGACGCACCGCAGCGCGCACGGTCAGCAAACCGACTTTTGCGGGGGCGTTGAAGCAACTCTACTAATATGCACTTTACGCCTACGACTTTGGGATCTTAATTGCCTGCACCACAGCATCTAGATCTTAACATAGCTACATCAGTGCTTACCTTTCTAAGCACCCTCATGGTATACGGGTCTCGCAAAGCGTCTTCCAACGGCAGGGCCCTTGTAGAAGTATACGACAGGCGACTCAGGCGCACCGCAACGCGTACGGTCAGCAAACTGAAGCGGAGTTTTGCGCGGGCGTTGAAGCGACTCTACTAATATGCACCTTACGCCTACGACTTTGGAATCTCAATTGCCTGCACCACAGCATCTAGATCTTAGCATAGCTAAAGCCTGGTCCGTGAGCACGTAGAATCCCGTCCAATGACCCCAAGCTACCCATCCCTATCGCTCGCGCGTAATTATGTTGTTGTCGCGCTCGCACACTCACTGCGGGCGCCCGTCGCACAGTCGCGACAGCAACATGGGGTCATTGGACAGCTTGGGGTCATTGGACGGGATTCTACGTGCTCACGGACCAGGCTTTACATCTAAGTGCTTACCTTTCTAAGCACCCTCATGGTATACGGGTCTCGCAGAGCGTCTTCTAATGGCAGGGCCCTTGTAGACGTATGCGGCAGGCGACTCAGACGCACCGCAGCACGCACGGTCAGCAAACCGAGGCAGAGTTTTGCGCGGGCGTTGAAACGACTCTACTAATATGCACCTTACGCCTACGACTTTGGGATCTTAATTGACTGCACCACAATATCTAGATCTTAACATAGCTACATCAGTGCTTACCTTCCTAAGCACCCTCATAGTATACGGGTCTCGCAAAGCGTCTTCCAACGGCAAGGCCCTTGTAGAAGTATGCGACTGTGCGACGGGCGCCCGCAGTGAGTGTGTGAGCGCGACAGCAAAATAATTACGCGCGAGCGATAAGGATGGGTAGCTTGGGGTCATTGGACAAAATTCTACGTACTCACAGACCGGGCTTTAGATCTTAGCATAGCTACATCTAAGTGCTTACCTTTCTAAGCACCCTCATGGTATACGGGTCTCGCAAAGCGTCTTCCAACGGCAAGGCCCTTGTAGAAGTATGCGGCAGGCGACTCAGACGCACCGCAGCTCGCACGGTCAGCAAACCGAGGCGGAGTTTTGCGCGGGCGTTGAAGCGACCCGATTTTATAGCCTGAAGTTGACGGGTTTGAGATTAGATTTTTGTAATGGAGTTTGTGATTATTCTAATAATTCTGTTGTAATTATAATGACTGTCTACATTTATGGTAACATTTTAAAAATTGAACTATAATCTATTCTAAACGATATCTCTATGGTAAGGTGTACTTCTATTTTAAAGGATAATTATAGTAATATTGATATGCCCAACTGGGTCTACATGTAATTTATCTGGTTATGATCATGTCAACACCTGTGTGACATTATGGAATGCAATAAATTATTTTAATTTTTTACGAAAAATTGATTATGATATTCATAAATTTGTGACGAGATACGATAAATATTAAATTTTAGCAATTTATCCATGGATTTTTTAATGAAATATTTTTTTTTAAATCGTTATTTAAAAAAACTATGTACTAATTTCAATCTACAACTACTCTAAGTCTAAAAAATAAATCTTTAAAGCGAACAACAACAGTGAGGTTTTGCAAAAAGTTCTAAATCTACAACAGAAAAACATGCACAAATACAACATGCATCTATCAATAGGTCAGGTAAGCGTGTTTCAGTGAGCTGTGCAAATAAATAAGTAAAACTAGCCCTAGTTTCAGCCCTATGGTACGCAGGCAACGTGACAGCGACGTGACGTAACATTTACATAAAATTTTCAGCAGTGAGCGTGTGTGTAAGTGGCAGTGACTTCCTAATAAAGTCGCAAAGAGAATGCTTTAATTTAAAATAACGTGTATTTTGTATGAAGAAAAGGTCTTGTAAAAGGCTAGTTTCTTATTCAACGACTGTGATTTTTACATGATAAAAAATTGCACACAAATAAAATGCGAAAATCACAGCTAATTTAAATTGTTTTTCAGAGCTAAATTTAAGTGTGTTATTGATAAAGTTGTGCTTTTGGTATTTTAATGGTTTCAACTACCCATTTGTATGAAAATGTCACGTCGCGGTCACGTAGCGCCACTCTCACTCTGTCTACGCTACAGGCTTTTGACTTACCCATATCTAAAGGGGAAAAAAGACAATGTTTAGTGTATTGTATGGACTGTCAGTCACAGTATTTTAAAATGTGTATGTTTGTGGTATAACAACTTAATAAATTAATTACTTAGTAATAATTAAAATGGTAATGGTAATGATTTGATTTGATTTGATTTGGTAATTGAGAATTTAGCAACATATAAAATCTAATTAGAACGTATAATTTAATAACATGACCAATGACCATAAATTATATTATAACATTGCTTGCATGCAGGTCAGATTTGAACAAAAGAAGTTGACAAATAAAATCTGTACAAATCAAAGTTGTTGGATTCATGTGTTAACCCGTAAACGGGTTAATGTACAAAACAAGTGTAGTTAAACAAAAAGCCATCAAACACTGATTGTCAATACTTGGTCCTTCGAGCCGGATCTAAACAGGAAATATTTTGGGTCACTAAAGACAACAATAAGCTTTAAGACTTTTAGACCCAGTTTCCACCGAGGCGGAGCAGAGCGGAGAACTGTTTTGAATAACCAATCAGATTGTATGAAATTGACAGAATGAAATCTGATTGTAATTCAAAACATTTCTCTCTCCGTCTTGGTGGAAACTTGGCCTTAAATGGCATGTTAAATGGCTTTTTGCTTTCCAAAAATCCAGTGACACAGTAGTATGAGTGTGTAAAAGCCCGTATTCACAAACATTACTATGCGGTCTTACAGTGCTCGTGGACGCACAGGGTCGCACATTAACCAATCGCAGAGCTCTATTCAACGCTGTGCGTTCGATTTGCTTCACTTCAGCAAGCATCGTTTGTGAATACGGGCGCAAGTATGGCATGTTAAATGGCTTTTTGCTTTCCAAAAAACCCAGTGACATAGTATGAGTGTGTTAAGTGTTATCAGAGTAAATACAAATGAGTAGGTTATCTTCATAGAAACGCACCGAGCGCGGTTTGTACGGTCAAAATTCGGCGCAACCACGACTGACTCCCCGATAATCCACGATAAATTTTGTCAGTGTGCGCGTACGCGCCGCATACGTATTGGCGCGCTCACATACAAACCGCGCTCGGTGCGTTTCTATGAAGATGACCTACTCATTTGTATTTACTCTGGTGTTATCCCCGATGATGCATAAGTCACACAAATTACCATGGTCAGCTGTTCGATCCTAGACATCCTCCGACTGCTGCTCGAGAGAGACTGCTTCAGAGGGGTCATGTCCTGGTCCCATAGCTACAGGGAGAAACGTATGTAGTGTGCGTTTAGAAATTATGCGTTTCTATTTCAAGCGGTTTGGCGTGCAGCCTCGAGTGAAGTTTCAAGCAGTTTCTAATTATTTATTGACTGCTTATTTAAAATGGTAAATGGTAGCTATTTTATGCTTGTGTACATGTGACAATATATTTTTTATGTACACTTAGTCAATAATACACAATATTTTTTTTTTATTTTTTTTTAATCACTTATTCGTCTTACTAAGATAGAGATTTTTCATTGCCAATGTCTTAAGGGTCTCTCTGCATTTTAAAGTCTTTCTGTCTTTGTCACTCATATCAGAATTTTGCTATGAGTGAGAAAGATGAACATATCCAAAAATACGAGAGTAGCCACCAAGGCCCGTATTATGAAACGACATTGAAAATTCATTCAATCAGAATCTGTGATTCAGTTTGAATCCTGTTTTAAGTTTTAATTCTCACTATGTGCCTAGAAATGACTGATGAATCTTAGCCAATAAAAAAAATTACTGTCATAAATATTAAAGAAAATGACTCTTAACTCATTGAAATAAAAACGCATTTAAAGTGCAGCAGAAATAAGCTCTACAGTGCCACATGCAATGTCACAATATTGCATGTAAAGAAAGAAATAGAAAGAAATATTATTAAAATAAGTGGTAAATGTTGAATTTCTACGCATTAGTTACTCTTAAGCAGAAGAAAAACAAGAAAAGAGTAAGCTACTAGTGTTTAGTCGAAAATACATAGTTTTGGTGTAATTTACTTTAAGATTTTTAAGTTAACTGTAGTAAACTTATTATTTAAGTTTAAAATTTATAATTATAGAATGTGGTCGTTCATTTCATATAAATAAGTACAAATATATTTTATTCCATCATGGCTCATTCGTACAATTTTTTTATTGTTGTCCATCATGGCTCATTTATTCCATTTGCAACCCTAAAACTTTATAGAAAGTCTATCGATAAGATAGTTTATTACTTGTAATTGATAAACTCTGCGAAGACTATGGTCAAGACAAAAGAGAGGCGTGTATTGCCGCATAAAAAAAGAAAATAATAATATTATGAGTCATGTATCGCATTCAGAAACATATCCAGACCGAAAATATATTTCGCATCAGGCTCCAATATCTCCACTCAAGAGCAAACGGGAACGCCGGGATTTCCCGGGAACAAATCTCTAGCTACAACTATAGTCCGACCTATAGACTATAGTGGCAATGCACCGACCGTGTAATGCCATTAAAAGTGTGTCACAATAACAAAATAATAATTCTAGGTATCGATAACAGAAGAAAGTAGGTATCGATAAAAGTACTTTGACATCTTTGGAACTAATCTCATATTTATCATGTAACATTGCATCATTTGATTGTTTTGTCTATGGATCTTTGCGAGGTACACCGACAGTTTCATTTATGAACCAGCAAAAGTAACTAACAAAAAGAACGATTTTCTGAAAGCACTTTCTCAGATTGTTTGTAAGATGAGCGACCACATTCTAATTTGTTCTATTCCACTTTGATCACCCAGGTGATCAAGTGGACTCAAGGCGACACTTTGGTGTCCTTTGATCACCCATGGATAATATCACCTAGGTGATCAAAGTGGACTTCTTATTCATGGGTGATCAAAGGACACCAAAGTGGCGCTTAGATCCACTTTGATCCACTGGATCAAATCCAGGTGATCAAAGTGGAATAGACCTCTTATTTAAGTTTCAGATATACAAAATGGGAGACAAATACAGTACTATAATGTTTCTAAACATGTCGCATCATTTGTCTCCCATCTTATCCAAGACCTGAAGTACCAGGCTACCATAAACTTAAAGAGACTTACCACGGTGTGGAAGAAGGCATGGTTGAGAGCTTCGGCCACATTGATTCTTTCGTTGGGGTCCACGACTAGTAACCGCCTGATCAGGTCTTTAGGGTCTTCTGTAAAGTACAAGGTAAGTTGTGTTAGATTGCTACACAAATAAAGATCAATTTCTCTTGTGGCAACAGGAGATCATGTAAATTTTGGGTATGAGGTCATTTACCACCAGAAATGGTGCATCCATTTTTACGGTCTCCCATATACTCGTGAATAGTTTTATATCTTGGTTTATAATGAAAATCTTGAAATATAACTTGACCTCTCTACTAATTAATAAAAGGTCGATTGTAAATAGAATAAAAATAAATATTTTTTAATGATTTCCAAGCTTCATCATACGAACCTGATATATCAGCCCACTCGGGGCTGGTGAAGGAGTACTTTCCCTCCATGATGTTTCTCAGCATCACCATCTGCTTGCGATGCCAGAAGGGCGGGCATCCAACCAGTCTGAAATGGAATGTTTGCTAACTTAACACAGATACGGGACTATTTCAACCTCTCACCTCACCTCTGCAACGAAATTAATCAGAAGAACATAGGAGGAGTTCGAAGTTAAGGTTCGACTTCCATCCATTGCAAAGCGGATGACAGGTGACAAACAAAGGTGGTTTTAAGAAAAGATATGCACCACCGAAAAAAAACATCAATTAAGGGGACCTATCTCATGAGCATAACACAAATACCCAACATTCATCATCGTCTCAGCCATAGGATGTCCACTGCTGGACATTGCCTCCCCCAATGATTTCCACAAAGGCCGGTTGGTAGCGGCCTGCATCCAGCGCCTTCCTGCTACCATTATGAAGTCGTCGGTCCACCCTGCATTCGCCACTGGTAAATTAGAGGGGGCCTTCCTTGATTCCTTCTGAGGTGGAGACTAAGGCCCGGTTTCCACCATAACGGAGAGGAGAAGAGACAAGAAGAAAAATCTCACCAAGTGGAGCGGGGGGTTGAAAAATTGACAAAATTGTCTCACTTAATGGACGCCCCCTAATTAGTTATGATGAAACATGTATACAATTATGTAAGGTTCATAATCGATTGAGGAAATTCGACAATTCAATACAACTCAATTCCGCACTCGAGTCCAAAGTTGAAGTAATATCGATACTTGTTTTATTTGAGCGTAAAGATTACATTAAACTCAAATGTAATGAAGCAATCGCATCATTTACTTATCACATATTATTATACATAATATACGTAAGAGTTACACAACTTTATCGATAAAAATCATTCGATTTTAAGCTTGTCTGGTATGTTTTATTTATTTTCATACACACCGTTTTAATCTGACTGCATGTCATGGTAAATTTAGTAGTAGGTAACATACCTACTACAAAATTTACCATGACATTTATTTGCAATAGGGGCGGATTTGGAATAAACATTAATAGTCTGATGTGCTGTTGTCTATGCCTACTTATTTATAAAGCTGAATGTAGACAAGAGCATTTCTATGTAACGTAACGATCTTACGAATGGTAGGTACATGCAGGTAAAATGTACGACGTTTGGTTCGTGAAAAGATGTCACACAGAACATAACATAATAGAGCAGCTCTTTATTCTATTACAAGTAAATGCTCTAAAATAACTAAAATAACTGGGATTACTGTTAATAATATAAAACTGTTTTTAAAAGGCTTGCAAACATCAAATTAATTAATTAATGACTTTTAATTAAATGAATAAATAATTTTTACTTACAAGGTGAACATGATGACTCCACACGCCCAACTGAAAAATAAAGAGAAACGAATTATTTACAGACAGATTTTTTTGGAAAAAATATACTTGATTTTTTTTCTATAGGTTGGTAACATCTAAGGATTATTCTTGCTTTGTCTATGACAATCTTCAAATATGGTTCCTTTTAGTAGCAATGATTATTATTTATCCTACTAATATTATAAATGCGAAAGTTTGGATGTCTGGATGTTTGTTACTCATTCACGCAAAAACTACTGATCGGATTGTGATGAAAATTTGCAGTATTATTGTTTATAACCCAGAATAACATATAGGCTATAATTTATGACGATCTGTGACAAACTAAATTTCACGCGGGTGAAGCCGCGGGCAAAAGCTAGTAACTACATATTTCTAGAATACCAAGGGAAGCAAATAATTTATTTCTGTCTTATCATCAATGTGTATTCTAAATCCTAATTAACCGATTTAATTAGGAGAGATATAAATTAAATAGGATGCTGATGCTGTATACAAGCGTATTATCTAATCGTATATTAGTTATTACGTTATTATTATTAGTTATATTATAAATATTGCTCATTATCTGTGGCGCGTGTCCGTCACTTTGATTTCGGATAACCCCGTAACTTATAGTCTGTTCACATTAATTAAGGATCTACGATTTAATTAATTTAATAAATTACATAATATAACTTATTGCCTGCGTGAGTTCACAGAAAGTATTTATGACAAGCTCTATATTGACGCGATAGTTTTACAATTACTTAGAAAGTTCGCCAAAAAAATCTAAAATTTAGTCAAGGAGTAATATCAAATAACCTTAACCACACTATTGGAATAGTTTCAGAAAATAAATAATCAATTATTGTATGTAATGCTGAACTTTGAGAATTTAATAATCGGGACCAATTTATTGATGAAACCGACTTAGATTTTGAAACCCGTCAAAATTGGTCCAGATAATTCTTAGGCTGAATTGTACCACCTAACTTTTACCGTAATTTACAGATTTTTGACGTTTGTCAAAGTTATATTAAAATGGTGCAACCCAGCCTTGGCGAGTAGTCGTGTTAGGCAGTACTTTTTTTAGAAACATTGTATAATTTTGTGACTGCTTAGTAAAAAAAAACTATCAACCATAATTATTATTATATTACATAACAATCAGATATTTCTATTTTATTTATTTATAAAATAACTGCCTCGATTAGTGCAGTATCTTTATCTATAATCTTTTATATCTCCTGACATTTCTCGAAAGGGCATGTCTGTGTAAACAATCCATTACCACTGTCAAAGTTCAGTGGCGGCTGAAAGATCAGAAGATGCGAGCGAAGTGCGTCACTTATCAGTCGAGGATATATTCGGACGGTTCGCAGCCGCTGATAAGTTGACAGCGTATGCTGACACTTGACATTGTCTCCTTGGACGATTCACGGGTTTTGATGACTGAGTAAGAATACAAAGTGATGATAATAAATTATGACATATTGATGCGTAGATAATGTGACGTTCGATTTCGACTCGGGGAGAACTTCGCTGCATCCAAAAAGTTAGTACATTCACGTTTAGCCAATATCTATCCCACCTGAGGCCGTTATTTTCGCTTTTTATTCAAAAATAAGGTGCTTATAATGAAACTAATCCTCATCATTTTCTTTCATCTATCACTCCTGTCAGGATATACGGCTTGGCCACGAATATAACGGCTCTTCAAGGCGAGAGTGAATGGCAGGTATGTATCATCTTAGACTGCATCACATCAAGTGTGATTGCAGTCAAATACCTGCTTTATTCTGTATAAAAAAACCCAACCAGTAAATCCCGACAGATAGCCTTTGACTAATGAATTTTATCAGCAGAATGTAGAAGAAATTCGGAGTATACTATCAACTTCTCCCCAATACAATACAAAGCAGGAGTTATAAGAAAAGGTTTAATTTTTCTGAGAATGAGATTCACCACGACAACAGGATAATACAAATTAACTAAGGCTGAGTTGCACCACCTAACTTTAACGTTAACTATAACGATAACCGGTGCTTTTTGTATGGATTTTGACAGATTTTTGACGTTTGTCAATGTTAAAGTAAGATGGTGAAACCCAGCCTAAGAGAATCGGAGTTGTTATCTGTTTCCAGCAAATAATAGGCGTGGCAAGATCGCTGGATCGCGTCAGACCTAATCGCAACAATATGGGTAAACAAATAGACGATACATAGTCATTTGTTGAATTACATCATGCATAAATATAATAAATATGTTTTCGAACATTCCTACAATATCAGCCCTTAGTCGTAATGGGAATATGGTTATAGATCGTTTCATGCACGAAGACGCGCCCCACCAATTTTTGGTCGAGGGAAGCGCAGGTTGCTGGGAGTTTGATCCGAGCAATCCGAGCGACATTATTGTAGTGTGCGTGTGCAGTCATAGATAATTTAGCGTGTACCGATAAAACTCAAACATTCGCGGAAGAATGGTGTGGCGCGTCTTCGTGGATGAAACGATCTGTGGTATAGATCGTTTCAGACGCAAGGCATAAGGTTGAAAATTGACCTTGACTTGAAGTCTTAATTTGAACTAGCTCAGTCTACTAAATGGTAAGTTATTGGTATACTCACACATCGACTTCCATCCCGTATCCTGGCGCGTCTTCGAACATGTTGGCTTTCAACGTCTCAGGAGCTAGGTAGCCTGGAGTGCCGCATAGCTCTGTAGACAAACACACGGCATTGAATTAGTTTAATATTAATTAATACACGCTGTTGTGTTCCTCATTGGGGGGATCATTGCCGATACTCGCCACGCTTGGCAGGCGGGTTGGTGAGTGAGCGAAGCGTGGTCTCTCACTATAGGCCTTATACAGAAGCTTAAAGTTACACAGCGTGCAATGGAGGGCGATGCTCGGTGTTTCTTTACGAGATCGAATCAGAAATGAGGAGATCCGTAAACGAACTAAAGTCGCTGACATAGCCCGACGGATTAGCAAGCTGAAGTAGCAATGGGCAGGGCACATAGTACGCAGAACTGACGGCCGATAGGGCAGCAAGGTTCTGGAGGGGAGGCCACGTACCGGAAAACGTAGCGTGCGACGTCCACCCACGGTGGACCGACGACATCATAAAGGTAGCAGGAAGGCGCTGGACGCAGGCCGCTACCATCCGGGCAGCATGGAAAGCATTGGGAGAGGCCTATGTTCAGCAGTGGACGTCCTATGGCTGAGATGATGATGATGATGATAATTAATACACATGAAGAGCCTGAGATTAATACGCTGGGCGGGCCTCAAAAGAACCACGCACCACGGAAAAACCAAGGGAGTCAATATACTCCCTATGTATGGATGACACTAGTTCTGAGAGTGCCAGGCATGGACTGCGAAAGAATGTTCCAGAATACTGGGTATTTCGAAGATTAACGAAGGAAGCTGGGCCTCTAGACAATGTACCATTCGTGACAGATTCAACTTCTCATCTTTTTTGTTAACTATCTGTTACATTTTCACACCTTAGTACTTTTTTGCAGTTGTCTCCCCCTTAAAAGACCAGTTCCTCCATTGTAAAACAAACAAAGCCCTTTGTAAGCGAAACTATCGCGTTCTAACCAGATGTAAGCGGAGATGGGACCAGCTGTATTAGACCGTGACGGCAGCAAGTGCGTCATAGGGAATATGGCATATTGTGCAGTTGTAAGAAGTGCGGTATTACAACAAAAAGTTTATTCTGATATGCTGGTGACTGCACATAAGACGACTATGTAAAGCTGAAGTGGTCTTAAAAAAAATGAGCGAAGAGTTTTCTTTCGCGTTGGAAAAAGCAATAATATTACTCCACTAACTTACTTATTCTTTAAGAGTAGGCGCACACCAGACAAACCAGACGAGCCAGCTTGGAGTGTGTAGGTATGCCAAATCCTCTATGCTCTCTAATAGAGGGCTGTGCTCCTGTAGTGATGACTGAATGATTGACTAAATGATGATGATACTCACCGAACAGGCGCTCGCCATCCTTCAGCATCTTGGCAAATCCGAAGTCCGTGATCATAACATTGAACTGGTCATCAAGCGAGATGCTTTACGATTTGATTCCTTACAGCCTATAAGATAAGTTCCATTTCACTTTTACTCACCGAACAGCCGTTCACCATCTTTCAGCACCTTAGCAAATCCAAAGTCTGTGATCTTGACATTGAGCTGGTCATCAAGCGAGATGCTTTACGACTTGATTCCTTACAGCCTATAAGAAAAGTTCCATTTCACTTTTACTCACCGAATAGCCGTTCGCCGTCCTTCAGAACCTAAGTGAATCTAAGTCCGTGATCTTGACATTAAGCTGGTCATCAAGCAGGATGCTCTACGACTTGATTCCTTACAGCCTATAAAATAAGCTTCCATTTCACTTTTACTCACCGAATAGCCGTTCGCCATCCTTCAGCACTTTAGCGAAGCCGAAATCCGTGATTTTGACATTGAGCTGGTCATCCAGCAAGATGTTTTCGGGCTTCAAATCTCGATGGACTATGCTTTTGCTGTGCACGTACTTTACCCCTTCCAGGACTTGTCTGCAAAGAACGTTTTATGTTTGAGATATTTTAAATTACAAATTCTTTGAATATTGATCGATCTCAATCGACCGTGAAAGTGTGGCGTCGCTATCTACGTACGTAACTTATCAATATTGTAAGCAGTTTGACACCCGCATTTTGGTTTTGATGCAAAATTAACATATCCTGATAAATATTGTCCAGTGTAATTAAGATAAAACATAGATGGAGATCTAATTAAATTAAATTACATGCCCACACACAACTTAAAAGTAATCTCAATATTCTCAATTTATTGAGGGATTTCTTTCAACTGTCATGAGTTCAAAAATTACAGTACAAAATATAAGTTGAATTTAAGTTCAAATGATAAAGATTTACTTGTTTATGTGACCGAAAAAATCGCGACAGGTTATCTCGACTTAAATATATCGATAAAATTGGATTACAAAATCCGGATTATTACCCAGCCACTTTAACGATACAAAAGTGATTTCTTAAATAAATCCCGGTTTAAATACACTTTCAAATAATTTAACTTGAGAGCATTGAACTATTTACGCTATTCAATTTAATTTACCTTGCGTAACACTTCAAAACAACTAAAGCTACTTCGTATAATGTAACCAAATTCACACACTCGTTGGTTTCCTTCGTTTTCAACTCTTGAACAGCTCTGGAATGGACGCACAACGCCATTTTGTGTTAATTAATTGGTTAATTAGTGTAAAAAACTGTGTTAAAATCCGCGAAACTAGAATAAGTCGGCCGAACGGTACCAGGAGCGCAGTACGACGCGAGAGCTAGCTTACGACTGAGTCGCGGTTCATGAGAACAAGAGATATCGCAGCGCACAGCTATTGTATACAAACACTATTGTATAGAATTGGCGCGTGTATAGATGTTTGACAACAAATTGGTATCTAATTAAAAAACTAATAAGCATATAATTTTCTACAAATGGGATTCCTAAGACGTAATTATAGCAACGTAGATGTTTGACAGCAATTTGGATTATCTAATTAAAAATTAATAAACTTTGGTATAAATTTCTTAATTTGGATCCTATTTCCTATTTAGATGAATTTCCTAAGACGTAAGTAGGTAACGTTTGCAAATGTTCTTTAAATGTAGAGTCAGTTTATAAACACAACGTTTCGTAACGTGTTTACAAAATGTAATGTTCTATTAATATAATAAGTACTAAAGTAAATTATAAAAACAATATTTCTGGATATAGGCCTCCAACATTATACCCTGATTATGCGAGGAAAAATTGATAGCCCGGCTGCTCTTAGCAGGATAGGTATATCGGTCCCAAAGCTGTGTGTGGACACTGACAGAGGCCTGGTGGCTCCGCGGAGACGCCCTAGGCTATTCAACGTGCCTGTGACGCGCACCCGCAATGCACAAAACTGCCCTACAATTAGAGCACTGACGTCATTAAATGCGCTTCTCGCGAAAAAACCCCATATTGACGTGTTTGTTGACAGTATGGCTCAGAATATTTTGGAGGTATACAATTTTCTGTCGCATAATATTTAAGCACCTATTTATGTAAATCGTGTATTCTGTACTTCTGCCGCTGATGGACGTCTTGGGTAAAACTGTAAGTCCACAGTGAATTGTATAAATAAATAAATAAATAAGCTGAAATTATGATGATGCTTGGTATAACTCGTACAGTCAGCGTCAAATAGTTCGTGACACTCAAAGTGGCAAAAAAGTCGACAACACAATCTTATTCCAAAAAATTGTAACAAAGACGTGTTGCGAACTTTTTGGCTACTTTAGGTTTCACGAACTCACGAAGTAATTGACGCTGACTGTAAATATCTACAGTCTTCTAATTCCCGTTTTCACCATCAATCCCTAATTTTTAAGTCACCCCTTTGAAAACAAAATTCCTGTATATGCTACCATAGGGGCCACTTAAAATTCGCGATTGATAACAAACTTGAATTTTAACACAAAAAACAAACACAACGTCCTATTTTTATAATTAGGTCGGTCTTTATGCGTAAAACGAATAGATTCAACAACAAACAATTTAATTAGCCAATGCTACAAACGCGATGTCACGTAGCCACGAAATCTTGTGGTATTTTTGGCATCTCACTCAAGATCTTCAAAGCTGTTGTAAAGAGATTATATTGATCAGAGAAATTTTTAACTTTTTTTTATGTGATAGGAGGCAAACGAGCAGACGGATCACCTCATCATCATCATCATCATTTCAGCCACAGGACGTCCACTGCTGAACATAGGCCTCCCCCAATGCTTTCCATGTTGATCGATTGGTAGCGGCCTGCGTCCAGCGCTTCCCTGCTACCTTTACGATGTCGGATCACCTGATGGTAAGTGATTACCGTCGCCCATAGACACCCGCAGACCCAGGGGCGTTACAGGTGCGTTGCCGGCCTTTAAGATAAACTTTTAGACCTAACGCTTATCTCAGTCATTGCCTGGGGTATCGGATCGACACGAGGGGTGACATACATATTATTATGACGTGACAGATCATACATATAAATAAATCTTATGCGAGATCTGAAGTCTTTTTTTACGGGGAAAAATGCGTTGAATCGCATACCTACCCTGCGGGGACAGGGTAGGTTATGTGGCGCTCGCCAAGTCAGAAGGACGAGGCATACCCACTAAAAAGACCCCGGTGCTCCGTCACTCGCCATAAGTGGGAGGAAACTGTGGGCTTCCGGACAAAGCCTTCTCTACCACAGCGGTTCCCGAAAGGTGGTCCGCGGAAATGCCGCAAGGGTTCCGTAAAAAATATTATCCCACGTTTCGTGACCGACGTTGTTCGCTCGCACCGACTTGTTTACGCACAAGAGAGGGGCAGGGCGTGCGGGCGGAGTAGTACGGGGGTTCCGCTAGGAAAATTATAATCAATTAGGGTTCCTTGGCAAAAAAAAAATTGGGAATCCCTGCTCTACCACACGCCTACACGGCGGGCCCTACCAGCTGTCACCAGTGCCGTAACTAGGGCGGTGCCAGCGGTGCCCAGGCACAGGGCGCAGACCCTGGAGGGGCGCAGAAATGACCAGACCAGTATCCAGTTTTGTTTCATGCATGGTAGTTAGTAGGTACATTTTGTTTTATTGCGAATATGGTGTAGACGCGCCCTCTGTACTATCTATATCTACATATATGGCATTTTTCAAGCGATCTTGAAACAACAACACTTGTAAAGGTGGTTTTATATTTGTCTGATGTGTCGTGACGTGACGCGTCAGAACGGTATCGGTTTCATCCCCCGTAGAAGGTTACTTTTTATTCAAAAAGGTTACATTTTTTTATATTTCTCGCACCGGGCGCATAAAAGGCTAGTTACGGCACTGGCTGTCACTGACTGAGTGATGCAGTAAATATGTAATTAGAATAACTGGTTAAAATGATATTATCCTGCTACTTCTTCAAGAAGTAAAAACAATAGTTTTCTTATAAATGGAGGTAGCTTTATATGGCTTTAATACAGAAATGAGTTGTTATTAATATGTATTTAAAGTATTTCAACCAATGTCATAATATTCAAAGAGATTGAATAATTTAATGTTAAAACAAAAGACTGCTAATTTGTTTATAAAGTAAACAGATTACAACAATTTTATAGTTTATCTGTAAACAATAAAATTGTCGTAACTCATCATTATTCTTAGTAAATATTTATCTTATACTGAAAAACCGACATCGTCACTGTTCGAGATAAAAATGTGATTGTTTTATTTAAATTACATATAAATAAAACAGGAAAACATTTGATCCTAGATCTAATATTTGCTTATATGGGTCAATGCTTACAAAATAGGCGTATCGACCCCAATACGTATTTATCTCTCTAAATGGTAAACAATTGTAATTAATCGTACAAGGGAGTGGCGAACGATTGAAGTGTAGAAGCAGTTTGTTTAATTTTATCGCAAAAATATTGGCTCAAAAAGAATATTTCAAAGCGCCATCTATTAACGATTGCGTGGTCAAATGGTTCGTGTAGTTTTGGTTGATGGTTCGCATTCCACCGAAGATAAATGTCAGGCTGAGTTGCACCACCTTATTTTAACCGTAACAATAACAATAACCGGTGCTTTTTGTATGGAGTTTGGCAGATTTTTGACGTTTATCAAAGGTAAAGTAAGATGGTGCAACTCAGCCTTAGTGTGATGAGTAATTTGTACTCGGAGGCTTGGTATTGAATACTACTGTAACTTACATGTATGTATACCTACTCTTATTTAGTACTACGAGTTTAAATATCAAAAGTACTTTGTACGCTTAATTCGTCCACCAAAAGTTAACGTAGAAGGTTAATTACTACATCAAAATTATTGTACGCTTATTTCGTTTACCACGAGCGAGTCAACGCCGCATTATGTAGGTACCTAAAGACCCAGTTCACCTAGTTGACATTGCAAAGGTTGTATCGCTGCCAGGTGATTAACGCACTTTTATGATAAATATAGGCTTCATAGACGATACAATTAAACCAGTTGCACCATCTTAATTTAACTATAACTGACGACAAAAATGTGTCAAACTCGACACAAAAAACACCAGTGAAAGTTAGGTGGTGCAAGATTGACATGTTACATTACGTTTATCAATGGGAAGTATGGGAACTGTTTATACATTGGAGAACTAGGACCGATTACGTCGCAATGACTGAAAACTTATCGGTTGAACTATCTAGTTCCGCGGACATGTTAACGGAACTAGTTCCGAAGGTTAAGTTAATCGTTCCAGGTTCAATTCAGTTCCGGATATGATTTGCGCATCTCTCTCTAGGTGCAACTAAGCCTTAGTTTGATGCGCCCTAGTAGATATTCGTTCTGCTCTATGGGTGTGAAACGTGGAAGGTCACCAAGGTTATCTTGCACCAGCTGCAGGTCTTCATCAACCGCTGCCTTCGCCGAATTCTCGGCATATACTGGCCCGAGAAAATCTCCAACGTCCAGCTATTGGAACGCTGCCACGAAATTCTGATCGACCAGCAGATCAAGCGCCGCAAGTGGAACTGGATTGGCCACACTCTCCGAAGGGACCCCGATCACATCCCTAAGCAGGCTCTGGATTGGAATCCCCAAGGAAAACGCAAACGTGGTCGACCCAGGCAAACTTGGCGGCGCACTGTAGCGGACGAGGCGAAGAAGATCGGCAAGACTTGGAGCGAGATCAAGCGAGAAGCTCAAGACCGAACGAGATGGAGGACTGTTGTGGACGCCCTCTGTCCCATCTAGGGGACATAGGACCATAAGTCAAGTAAGTCAAGACATGTTAACGGAACTAGTTCCGAAGGTTAAGTCAATCGTTCCAGGTTCAATCCAGTTCCGGATATGATTTGCGCATCTCTCTCTAGGTGCAACTAAGCCTTAGTTTGATGCACCCTAGTAGGTATAGACTACTCACAGCGATTAGATAATGTCTATGGTCCCAGCAGCTCTCAGGTATAAAATGGTCGTGCTCATGACACTAATACAGTGTAAACTCTATTAACGACAGTCAAGGGACTGAGCGACGTTATAAAGAGTGGACGTTAAATGTAAAATGTAGGACATGGTAAAGTGGATTTCGACGTTATAAGGTTTGTTATTAAATCGAGTAACATTATACTATAGTTTATTTTTTTATTTTATTGTTATGGTGTGTCCACACTGGGCGAATATGCTCGCGCGGCAAACTCGACATCTTGCTCACTCAAGAGCGGGGTGAGCAGGATGTCGAGTTTGCCGCGCGAGCATATTCGCCCAGTGTGGACGCACCATAAGGAAAACAAACACACTGTATTTGCTCCTAGTGGGATTCAAACTTCTTTGCAATCCACTTAATTAGCTAGGCCAGACACTATCTGAATAACTTTATAATTAGACTAAATCATATTTGTAAACAAAGCAAAGATAAGGCAACGTAACGAACTCGTATCTTACCTCATAATATACCTAGTTTTCTTCTCAGACAGCGTGACGACAGACGTGAGGTAGTCGAACAACTCTCCGTTTTTGCACAGCTCGAACACCAAGAATATGAACGTTTCCGATTCGAACACGTCTTGCAGCTCAACTGGAAAATGAGACACTATATTTAATTTCAATCTTTAATTAGGGCCTCTTGTAGGATATGTTCCGATATAGCACTATGATCACTGCTCAGTGCCCTCACTGCTAAGGATCCCTTAAATTAGACGTTTTGAACAGGACGTCAATCGCGCGTTTGCAATACCGCTTACTAATGTTGGAAATTGTAATTTATATTTTAATGCATAGGTTCCAATTTTAGAAAACTAAGCTGGGGGTGTCATGTATTCTTAGAGCGGGAACACGTGTGACTTTGTTTTTCGGACTTTCCACACAGTTATGAACTCTAGGCTGGATTCAGCTACCAATCAGTCACTATGGAAATCAAAGAAAGGCACTGGCCACTGACATACTACATAGTAACTTAGTAAGGTGAGACAGAGCGAACAACCCAAAATATTTTATAGATACTAATTATGAAACAATTAGCATTAAGGGAATCCTGCTTCTTTAGCAACAAAATATTATAATTATTACAAGTCAACATAAATAAAATAAACAACACTTTTTTAAACACTATCTAAACCATTCAAATTAAATCAATTTAGTTTATTGCAATTGTAGGTACATATAGTACATTGATGGGTCTTAAATTATATCCCAAAATGTATTAAAGATTTTGTGTTTTAAATCGGCTAACAACTCACTCACTAATATAAGGGTGTCCGGCGACCATTCTCAGGATGTTGATCTCTTGCCGAGTGGCGTCCCTCATGATGTGTGTGTCCACTCCATCGTGGGACTCCTGGCTGAGGTCAATGATCTTGGCAGCGTACTCCCGGCCCGTCTCTTTCTCTATACATCTTCTGACCGTTGAACTGATGCCTCTGGATTTCAAAAATGGTTTGGTTATTCAAGGATTTTTAAGTTAATTATGTTTACTCTTGCTTTGTCCACCATATTGTGCTGAATAAAGAATTTCTTATTTTTATTCTATTCTTAAGGGTTGTGTTAGATTTGAAGATGTGTATTGATTTTGCATGAAACAGTTTATTGTTATCTTTAAATCATTAAAAAATTGCTTGGTAATGCTGAAATGTGTAATCTAACTTAAAAGTAAGTAAAGTTACTTACTCTTCATGGCTAAGCATGAGATTTTAATCAGAAGAAAATATTATTTTCTGAGTTTTGTGTTATTTTCTTTTTCTATTCTGTATCTGTGAACTACTTTGTTTCATCAAACAAATTAACTGTGTAGATGCTTTATATGAGTAAATAATTTCAGATTCTAGCATTGTCTTAATTCAAGGATTATCTAGCCTAATTATAGTACAGATTACTTTGCAGCAATTACTGAACAATGTTATGAACTGAACAAACACTTTATTAGCAAGAACCGTATATTTTAAGCAAGCATTAAAATTCCAAAATTGCCAGATGTAGAATAAAATCATACACAATTTGGAATTTGTATCACTAAGAATACCGACAAAATTATGTATAAATAAGTTCTGAAAGAAAAAACCTAATTAAATTAAAGAATATCAGGAGAATTAACGTATCTTTCACGCAACCTTGGTAGTTGGTAATAAAGTTTCATCCAATTAGTATGTCCTGTTCACATCGCAAGTGAGCCGGCTACATTAATGTAACCTGAATATTCTAGATTTTGATTATTTGGATCTTCTGGTCGGAACTAGATTTATTTAAGCTCTGCTTGTGATGAAATTACTCTTGACAGTCAAATTCAAGTAAAGCTTATGTTTTGTGATTGGTCCTGCATATTTAAATTTTTTATAATAACTGACAAAGCTATGTACGGGCCCATTTATTGTCCTGAAGCATTAGTAGGGTCGAAGTAAGCAATACTGGGACATGTAAAAGCCCTTTTTAAAAGTGTATTTGCAGAAAACAAATGCCTTAAAATAGGTACATTTAATGATATTATTATTTAACCATATAAGGCTTTAATTGCATTATACTAATATACAAAAAGTATTCAATAGTTTTGGGTGTTATCATTTATAAAAACTCAAGAGTTCTTTCTCAATAACATCAAATTGGCAGGGCAACCAACTCTCCATTGAGAATTTAATAATCATAAGTCAACATTTGTACTTTAGACAGGCAAAAGAGAATCAATAAACTATTGTGATAAAAAATCTGTGGACCACTTAACTCGCTGATAATAGTAACTGTTTTATGAGGTGTAGACTTTGTTCTAAATAAGTGTTCTTTATAGTATTGTCTATTTTTCTTTCATTCTAATTAGAATAAATTCTAATTAGAATAAGAATCAGACAGAACAATTTCTTGGAATGCATTTGGGACTTTAGTTTGTTTACTATTGTTTGTAATTTTATAAAACTAGTGCTCAGAAATGTTTCTAGACAACTTGCGGCTATTAATTTATCAGCTTAGACATAGAAAACTAATTAGTTTAGCATCGCAAGTAGTGATTCCAATCTCAAGGTCACGCAGAAGACTTACGAATATGATCAAAGCTACAAGTACAATAGCCTGAATAATACTGTCTCTATTTAAAATTGGCAGCTACACAACTCGTCAAGTGATCACGATTGCCCATAGTGATAAGAAGCCAAAATACTCCATACCTTCCAATTATCTCCTTCGGCTCGTATTTAGCGTAGAACTCCTTCGCCGCATCCTTGTCCGGGAGGTTGTCGTCGTCTTCTTCCTTCGCCATGCTGCCCACGATTGTGGTTGTTATATTTTTTGTTAACTAATTTGTACGTAATTAAATACTCGGCCACCAATGACGAAAGGTTATTGTTAAACACACACTATTAATTCGCAAATTATCACAGCGATACGCACGCTAGCGACGCACAACAAATGGTATAAATGTACGTATGGAATATGGATTTTAGCTAGTTAAACGACGCTAAAGTTTCGTGAAACTAAACAAGTTTTTCACAAGCTTCCCGAAAATTATTAGGTCACAAAAAGAGCCATTTTCAACGAGTTCAACGACTGACAGTGACAGTGACAACCAGCTGGGTAGTGGTGAAAAAGAAGGTTATAGATGACCCACGCTGAACTGTCCCGCCAAACTCAATGACAGGGGGGCGCTACCATCGTTCAACTATATGGTTTCCAACATGGCAAAAATCTGAACCAGCGATCCGGTATTGACAGTGGCGCCCCACTGTCAATGTCATCGACAGGACAGTCCAGTATTTTGGAACTATATCTATGACAGAACGTTGCTTTAAAAAAACATGGTTAAAAACGCCATCTATTTTTGATAGATGTAAAACATAAATTGACATAATATCTTATAAAATGCTGTAATCCGAATTTTTAATGTTTTCGCATATGAAATAAAATATAAAATATTTCTAATCATAATAAATAAATAAACCAATACCACAGATAATATAATACCCAATACATAAATCACTATGTGGCACGCCCCGAGAGCGCTTAGGTTGGAACATAAAGTTAAGGAATATTAACTTTATGGGTTGGAAACCATTTTCCTGTGTCCAAATTAGAGCTGCCCTCTAGTATTTCTGGATCGCAATTTTAAATAAGTAAGAAATAATAAAGCATTTAATGCTTTTAGTTACCAAGAGATGGCGCTTAACTGTCAATGTCATAATCATGTGTAAAATAAAAAAATATACCCACCTCGCAGAAATTTGGGGGTAGAAGGGAAAGTAATGTTTTACATCCTATTAACTTCTTACAGGAAATTGTGAAAATATCATTTTCAGGTCTACATTTTCTTCAATCACTAAACAGCTGTTTTAGTCTTTGGAATAGGTTATTGGCTATGGTTTATGTGTTGTCTCTTTCTCTCATTTCGGTATGTTTTCGCTTGTGTTGTTCCGTCCGATTGTCTTGCATTTTGCAGTGTTATGAAAATATTAAATCGTCTCCCTTCGTTCCCGTGAGCATTTTTCGGGTGTTTTGTTGGTGCCACATTGGAATTCGTCACGAATCCTTCGCTTTGGTCCCGTAAAATCAGGTAAGGTGTTATTACGCATTGAATTTTGTGACATTCGTGATTGGTACATTGGTACATGAACATCTTTTATCAACCTTGAGATTATAGAAAATACCAGTTTTCTTTGTTCTTAATTTACATCTATGTGTCCTTTAATGACCAGGTTGTCCCGGTTGGGGAATTGGTTTCGATTTTGTGGACTTTCTCTTTGTTTTTTACTATGTTACATAAAATATGTTGTTCTAAATTCAATGTATTGACCCCTTATCAATATTGTTATCCATAAATGGCATTTTAAGTGTCTACAGTTACTAAGTAGCACCATCAAGGCTTCAATACCAAACATTCATTGCATAACAAACTAGTCCTTTGGTTTCAAGTGAATTGATTTGTTCTACTTTTCATTATGTCAACATTCTTGCCCAAATACTGATGATAAATGAAAAACCAATTCAAACTGCTGTTGTACATTACATCATCATTGATTTACTATGTGGATATAAGCTACATTTATCTTTTGAAAATCATTCTTTCTTTCTAATTAGATTTCAATAGGACTTTGAAATTATTAGTTTTTGCAAGCTGAGATGTACTTAAAATCATGGTAAAGTGTTCTATTTCAATTATTAAATTAAGGCGGAAGATATGAACAATACATTTACTCAAAGGTGCTTTTCAGCAACGCTGAGTAACACTAACAAACAAGTAACAATTTTGTCTCATAATAATAATTATCATTAATTTATTAATAGGGTCGATCAACTTTTTAACCGACATAAGCTTGTCCCGACGATATCGCATTCAAAAACGACTAAATTAAGATAATTTAAAAATTATTTTTAAGTTCCATTCAATTAACAGTTCAGAAACCTTAATAATAAACATATGAAATCTAGATAATATAAATAAATAAACATAAAAACTATGGTAACTCAGCATACGACTTCTTGCCTTCCATACAAATTACAGCTGTCCCCAGAGCGAGGTGGCTATATGTAATTTCTAATGTAAGAAAAATTTTCCTTTAAAAGTATTCAAGTCAGCTAATAAATTGCTTATAAATTAAACAAGGTTTAGTTTGTACTTTGTAAAATATAAAAATATGTTATGATTTTAAAGAAAAAAGTCCCTAAAACTGTGTCCCGAATTCATCCCATTTTGTAGTGTATGCAGAGTTACCGTGTAAAAAATAAACAAACATTATGCTACACGTCACAAATTTCTAATGAAGAACGGCGGTACAACCTTTGTTCTTGGCCGCGCGGCGGCGAGCCTTTGATTGCAGCCGCCGCGCGGCCAGGCCGCGGCAAGCTATCGATGAGTGCGCGTGTGTTTATTCAGTGTCGGCGGAGTTACCGGATTATTTCGATGAACAGGTAAATGTTTTTATATTTCTTTATCAGATTTTCAAGGTCTCTAAGGCTGATTTCCCATGGGTCAACTCAAAACGTTTGCAATATTAGGAAATTTTAATTTACAAGCTATTACGTAAAAAATGTCTTCTGAGTTACCTGTATACTGCGTTACAAAAAGGTAACTCTAAAGACAATTTAGGTAACTCTTTAGACATTATACGATTTTCAAAGACAAAGTGTCATAATAAATTTATTAATTACTTTCAGATTGTAAACTCACTAATAATGGCGTTAACGGCGGCCGAAAAGCAGAAAAGGTTCCGTGAAAAATTTTTTATGGTAACAGTAAAAGATGATTAATTACTTCAATTTCAGAGAAAAGTGTGATTTTATTTTAAGTTTTTAAATAAGTACAGAGAAAATTAACAATATGTATGACTCGTTAGTAACTCAGCATACATATTTCTCATATTTTAAGGCCTAAGTTTTAAAATTATATACAAATGCTGTATACCAAACTATTTGATTTTGCATGACTGAATAAATCTACCAAAATAAAAATTGAAGTCTTTTATTGTTTAAGAATTGCAGCGTAATCACTTTGAGTAACTCCGGTGACAAAACTATGGGTCAAGATTTACACTTTTGAGTTTTTTAATAAGAAGTAGTTCATAAAGTTTGCTGCTCGATTGGAAAACCGTATCTCAGATATATTTTTCACACTTCTGAGTAAATGAAATAGTTAAATACTCAAAAAAATATTTTAGTAACTTGCCAAAATTTTTCGCTCGTTATGTCGGTTAAAAAGTTGATCGACCCAATAATCAATATAAATGTACTGCTCAAAAAGTAATTAAATACAAAATAACAAGCTATTATCGTAAGCGATTAAACTTGTTTTTTAGTTATTTAGTAAATGTTTAAAATTATACTGAAAATTATATTTTTAAAAAGAATTGAATGACAATCCTTTGCCAGCATTTGCCCGCATAACATTTTTTTAACATTGAACATAAAACACCTAATTATACGGTAATGAGAAATAATTATGTCAATTTAAATGCTTAAATCGAGTATAATTCTATTTTTGGCTTGATGAAGTGTATTAGAAAGGTATTAAATTAAAGTAACAATAATAATATAATTATTTCAATTTAAAAATAAAGTATTGAAATAAAATAGTATAATATTTCATTATTTTTTAAATTATTCAAGTTATCTCTCCATTGAAACAAAGTAGGAACACCTTACTTGGCTTTTGTACAATCATGTAATACGATGTTTCAAATGCAAGATAGATGGCGCCACGAGTTTCTTATTGCGGAATCGTATGGATTTTTTTTTATTGAACACCCATTTTATTACAAGATTCTTTTTTCGAAAAGGTTTAACTACAGGTATTATAGGTATAATATTTTTATATTTGGTTTACTCCATTTGTTGCTCTACCTCTGTGCATTTTTTAACTGAAATAGGTACGTACCGCTAATACTTATACTGTGAGATTCTGCCTGCATCAAACTGCCAAAAAACATGTCTTGCTCTACCCTATTATTGAACTATTTCCACCTCTCGTTCCCACCGCTGTACTCCACTTTAGACCCTATTCCAAAAGTAAACCCTACAAGTAGCCTTAACCATACCTACTCTGTATGTTGATCACTATTTTAAAAGCATTCATCCCGACCGTATTCAATTCAAGATAATAAAACCCGTGCGTCATAGTAATCTTCATTGATAAGACGTACTATCTTCACAGATTTTTTTGTACCGTTCATCTTCTACTACGGTACAGCAGACAGTCAACATCACTTCAAAGTATATTTTTTATTGCAAAATAACACCTATTATACGTCATCATCATCATTATCATTTCAGCCATAGGACGTCCACTGCTGAACATAGGCCTCCCCCAATGCTTTCCACGTTGATCGATTGGTAGCGGCCTGCGTCCAGCGCTTCCCTGCTACCTTTACGATGTCATCGGTCGTACTATTAAGATACCGCAGTATTTAGCTTGATATGCTGTCGTCTGTACAAATGATTTTACTACGGTATAGTCAGCAAACGCATCAAACTATAAACTAGCGGCCGCCCGCGACTTCGTACGTGTGGTGGGTGGACCCCGTTTTGCTCCCTCGGGGTGGATTTTCGTAAAATCCGTTCTTATCGGATCTCTACATCCTATTAATAAGGAAACTACCTGCCAAATTTCAAGTTTCTAGGTGTTATAGTTTTTGAGATTTCTCGATTGATCTGCGAGTGGTATTTCGTTTTAATTTAAATAGATTTTTACTTGCAAAATAGTACCTTTTATGACTCATAAGATAAATCTTTAGCTTATTGTTAATGTGCCGTCCGTACAATGGCTTAACCACTTTCACTGCCGCGTTGTTTCACGTCACTAGAAGGAGGACAAGGGCGAATAATGTGCCCTAAAAACTAAGCAATTATTTAGGGCAGGAAATTATTCGTAGTAAAACTAGGCAACGTAATTATGCAGAAAAGATAGCGATAGAAAAAGTAGGCGGCTGGCACAATTATGTAGGTACTAGAGACAGGCTATTATGATAGACGATGCTGTACCTACCCACGGTTTTGGACGCTTTTCTGTCTGATATAACAGTCTTTATCGTACGATCCATACTCATGTAGTTAAAAACCACTTTATCTTACCAAAAATGTAAGTAAGACACGTCAGTTGCAGAATGACTATTTTAGATGTCTCTATAATACTATTTTGATATTCTTTCCAACAATAACCATATAAGAATTTTCATAACCAACTTGTGGGTTTCTCTATAATTTCCAATATAAACTTTCATCCCTTAATCTCATTATTTATGCGGCAAAAGTAATGAATTCTGACAGACAGATAGATTTTGCATTTATAATAGGCGACATTGTAAGTACATAGAGCGATTCACGTCATGCGACTAAAACAGATGGGGGCTACGTCATTCAACGTCGCGAATCGCTAGATCATTGCTGAAAATCGCGATTTGTAACTCAATGTTTATCTGTCTATGCCTACAGAAAAAAACGACTGACTTATTCCCAAATGTTCTGTTTTTCAGGAAAACTTTTATCCTTATAAGAACTTTCTTCGGACTTTAAAGGGTAGATATTAAAAGCACGTTCAGTGATACATAATTTTCTATCAATGATGATGTTATCAGCAATTTAGAAAGAATGCAGTACCGTCTACTACACCAAAGCACAAGTAACTCTATGGTAGACCATAAGGTGTAGACAGCTTTCCAGAGCACACTACCGACTGAGTAGGTATACACAGTCTGCTGAGTCTAACTAGACTAGACCGATATTAACTTATCTCAGCTTGTTTACTGGTTACATCCACGCTTTCCTCATAAAAACGACCTTATTTATTAATAGACAGAATAGCAAAGAAATGATCTTATACGGTTTCTTTTTTACCTTTTCAGCAATAGAACCGTACAAAGTTTTTCTTCCCCTCCATTTGGCTTCTCAAAACTTCCCGGAAATTTCGTAGTTTCCTCAAAGTTTACCTTTGGACCTTTGATAAAATTAGAATGTAATAAATTTCAAACTTGACGATTCGCCCTTTTTCCTTGATGGATGCGATCTCTTTTTTCTGTTACGAAAAAAGTTAAAAAAAACATTAGGCAACCTAAAGCCGGGTCTCCAGCGCATGTTTTTCTCTACACAATATTAACAAAAACATGTCAACATTCAACAAAATTGCCTACGATTTAGAATTTAGTATTTTTTTGTTGATTGTGTAGAGCAAAACGCACTGGAGACCCGACCTCATACAGTAATATTTGTAAACTGTCATTTGTGCTAATAATAGAAAGACTGCATTGATTAGTCGTAGGCGGCTTTTCCATTTTCACCTGGAATGGCCGAGCGCAGGGGGTGAAAGCCCGCCCTCTATCTCACATTCTCAATTATTTATGAAAATAATTAATTTGAGCACTAAACCGCAGAGATTAGCCGAAATAATGAACTGTTACTTTGTATAGTTGCATGAACGTCGATCACAATCTGCAGATCGCGTGATCACGGTAAACATGGCGCTGGGAATATAAAAGTAATATAAAATAACGAGAGTCCGCCGCACGACATGTCTGGACGCGAGCTTAATTTGTATGGAAATGGCTACGAATTCCGAAACTTCTCAGACCATCTGATGAATTCCGAAGCGTCTACATAGTCCATTTACATCATGTCGACCGTCAATCCAAGAAATATGGTAGGGAACAAAACACACACTAAAAGCTTTGCGATTCCGAATTGGAAAGCTTTTTATACATTTTAATCTTTAATGCATGTAGAAATTGTACAGACAACAGGACATGTATGTAGCTGTACAAGAGATAATTAATTTGGGATCCAGTGAAAACATACCATAGTTTTTGTCCCGGTTTTAAAAAGGAGGCACGAATGTATTCCATCACATTCTTGTCTCATCATATCTCTTCTATGACAGGCCGGAATTCACGCAGGCAAAAGCCTAATAGTTACCTTCTTTGGTATTTGTATTAGGTGCTATTTTATAAGCAAAATGTGTAGTCCCATGTATTGTCGACTTTCTACCGTATCCACCATCTCTACATCCACGCCAACCGCCTCCATGTTGCCTAATTATAGCGCGCACGCCGTGTGAAGATACAAATCGGCGCTATCAGAAACACCATAACCAACAATATGTGGTTATCCGACCGAGAGTAATATACACCCACCAGTCCACCACATTCCGTTGTGCAAGTTTGTTTATAATTAACAGTATTTATTTGTATCCCCGTATGTTTTTTTTTGCCCAAGAAAGAAGTAATCTTTGTGTGAGTCACTTTAGGAATATCGAAATCATATTATTTGAGTTACTATAGCATACACCACCGTGCCTATCATCCTGCATCGCGGTGTCGGAGTTCTCTGCTCTCATACTAGCAATATAGAAAACCGGGATGGTAAACAACTGGAGCTTCTTGGTCCCCAAGCACAACACCCGTGCGGAAGGAAGTAATTCCACCTTAACTTCATTATCATCAATTCAATTTGAATTGACAAGCTTTCTCAAGAGCCTTAGGGTGAATTCATAAATCTTAACATCAACAATGTTGGCAGGTCCCAGAGGCGGTATACACTCTGTACCCACTTTAAACATGTCCACTTCAGCTAAAATTATGAAGAGAGGAGCAAACTCAAATGCGTCATTATCACATAGTTCTCAGATTGTACATCATTACACTGTAATTATATAGAACTCACAAGCCATGTCGTAATGGCTGTATGTAATAATATAATTACTTCAAGTAAACTAAACCAACTGGGCGCGGTCGTTGAA